GGCGCTGCATCATGGCATGTTTTTCTAGTAGGGCCTTGGTTATGCTCACACTAAATACAGCAACCTTGTCCATAACAGAAAATATGACAGCTGGTGTGTGTAGACCCACCACGTCCCTGCGATTTTATTACTGACAAACTCACTAGCATTCAACAATGTATTCTATTTTACTGACACAGCTGGTCGGTTAAAAATTCTTTTTGCACCTGGACATTTGGTAAAAAAAGAAAGCTACAATCAGATATCAAAAATAAAATAGACGCGGACTTTCACATGATGAATTTCAGTAAAAGTTTTAAAAATTTTGCCAAGGAATGAAGAGCATGGATATCAACTACAGTTACCATCACCCCCACTCCACAGTCAGACACTAATGTTAACACCCCGACTCCACGTGGGACTCACGGTTGATGTCCACACACCTCCACTCATCCATTAACTGAGGTTGATATGTTGAGTCGACACCTCCTCTGTGGTGTCTAGGGCTTATAAATATAAATAATTCAGAAAATACGAGCAAGGCTGCTTGGGCAGTTATGTGTTTGAAAAAAAAAAACATACATGTCTGAATAAAAAAAAATGTTTTTCCAAAAACATAAAAAGATTTATAAAAGTCATAAAGATTTATTATAGTGAACACATTTATTTGGTTTTTGTTCTAAATTTGTAGTGCAAAATCGTGAAATTTTTCATTTTTTTGGTCATAATTTTCTAAAGACAAATGGCAATTGAAATCTCTTTACATTTCTATGTAGGAAAATTAATTTCAAACATTTTGCTTATCTTGAATTTTATATGACAAATTTTGGTTCATGCAGCAAAGTTTTACTTTTAAAATTTCAAAAAACAATTTTTTCTACAGGGTAGTCCACGGGAAACGGATGGATTTTAAAAAGCTATTGCTCTTAAAGTCTTAATTATAGAAAAGTTTATTGACATAAAAATAGAGCATTTACAAAATTAAATACCTTTTTTTTTATTTTTAAAATTACCTACAATTGCGGTCATTGAAACAGGCACACATTTTCAAGCCTTGCTCGAAAACGTTATACTTTGTTCAATAACTATTCATTGATTCGTTCAATTTGGCTCCTAATTGGGGCCTTCAACTCTTCCAGAGTACGCGGTTTTTCTTTTAAAACACATGTCTTCAGGTGACTTCACAGGGAAAGGTCATTCATTGACAAGTCTGGTGAACAAGGTAGTCACACAACATCACCAAACCATGAGATCACACGACCAGGAAATAACATTTTAAATGGTGCCATAGAGGAATTGGCCTTGTAAGAAGTTGCCCCATCTTGTTGAAACCATATGTTTAATTCCATTTGGAAATTCTTCATTTTATGACGAAGAATTTGAGTAAGAGTTTCAATAGGTTTGCTCTATTGGTTGTTTATATAAATTTTCTAATATGACTGCAAAACCGCCAAAAACGCCTTGCCACTACAGAGTTCACCCTTTGCCAGTTGGGGACAACTGTCTTATCCACAGCATATTTATGAAAAAGCTCAGGGGTGCCCATCCCCCCCTAGACTCATGACGCACCCCCCCCCTAATTGAGCAACAGCCCCCCCCCCATAAATGATGTACACAACAAATGAGAAACATTATTCCCCCGCCCAGCACTATTTGTAAAAAGAAGTTTTATAATTTTGTTTAGATATTTAAAATTCAAACCCAGTTAATCTATATCAATAAAGTTATAGTTTTGTCTGTACATTGCTCAGAGTTATACATGTTTTGGGTTATTTATGTTTTATACATTGAAGAAGTTGAAACATGCCTTATCTCCATTTATGTCCGTCTGTCACGGCCCAGAAGGCATTTTATGCAGCCTACTCATGGCCTACTCTGAAGAAAACTAGAGTACCGATTATGATTCTAAAGGCCTTTTCACACCGGCGTACTGGACGTACTGTACGTTTGGTACGTTTTTTTTTCAACAAATCGCTGTCCATGTTATCATATGGGCTCGTTCACACCGCGCGTACAGAACGTACTGTACGTACAGTACGTACGCGATGGTTTTGTGAGAATCGCTCGGAGAGCGATTTTTCTAAATCGTACGAGGCGTACGCGAGCTCGCGCATGCGCAGTGGTCACACCAAAACCACGTGCTCAGCCAGTGTTACTTGTCTGACTGCAAACGAACAAGTGTACGTTTTGAAAGTTTCTGTGCGGTGTGAAAGGACCGCGTACTGTACGAACTGGCCGTACCAAACGTACAGTACGTCCAGTACGCCGGTGTGAAAAGGCCTTAATGGTTTAATTGTATCCACAGGATTGGCGAGAGAGACCTTATAGCCATTAAAATATGGCCTCACTATTTTGGAAATAAAATAACGGACGATCAAAAATACAATTTTGTGTGATTTTTCTAGTTTATTTTTTCCATGTTTACTACATACGTCATTAATTTATGAAATACTAATAATCTGTTAAGAGAACACGTCATATATGAAATTACGAACAGCTGTTTTGATAAAGATTCCTTTTCCTAGCTGTCACTGATATGTTTACATAAATGTTCTTTAAGAATACTGTGTAGGCCCTAACCATTTCCGATCACGTTTGTAAGCAAATCCAAAACCAAGTGAGATTAATAACCGTGTGGCTTTGGCTTACATAACGGGTTTGATTTATCACGAGTACTAATATGTAACTGTAAATTAAATTAAATAACTAGCCTCATCCAGGTCGGGAACCGGAGATTCTGTGTGTATCAAGTTGTACTTGAATTTTGATTACAGGGCAAAGACCATGAATCAGTGTTGTACAGGACTAGAAAACTTATCTTTCTATATAAATAAAATTAGAGTTTTATAAGTCACCTCAATTTAAGGAATTTTTATTGCCACAGAATATCCATAACGAATTGTCAGTGTCTTTCTCGATATAACGATCCCCTCTCCCTTCCTTTAAAAACATCACAGCTCCTTTGATGAAAATGAAATGGAAATAACGTTTGCGCCAACAAAATCGTCTGCTCCGTTACACTTCTGTCTGCTGTGCGCTATGTTACAATACAACAGATTTCAGATTCAGATACAACAGCTGGGGAATGATGACGATATAATGCTTAGTACACTGTGATTGAGTGATAACCATGGTAACTTTAGTTAGGCTGTGATTGGCCAATGAGTAGGCCTAAATATGGCGACTTGTTGAATTTGTGTATGAATTGAAGAGAAACCTATTAATGAACAGAAGAACAAAGAAAGAGAATAACAAGATTGTTCTCGTTACATTCTTTTTAAAGAGTGTTATAATTATCTCCAAATATAATTTTACACTTTTTTATTACTTAATATATCAATTCCTATGCACAGCACCTATAGGTAGCCTACCCGTCTATCATGAGCAGTACCTTATAACACTTTCTAAAGGTTCCTTTAATATTTACGTTATTGTTAGCAATGTAATGTTTGGCTAGTGATTAGTTGAGTTTGAGTTAGCTACAATTTTAAACGTTGCCGTTTGTACAACTGAACCAAGATAAATGATTTGAAATTTACAATAATAATAATTGTGCAATATTGAATTTCGTTTATAAAAATGTAAATCGTGACTTAATGGCTGTTTAGAGCGTTTTAATGAGTTTGTCATCTGTTTTTATACTATATTGGATTAACCGTATTTTTCATTCCCCCCCCTCTCCCTATTAACTCAGGTAATCGAGTATACACAAAAGTGTAAAGTTTTGTAGCCTATGCTACTTGCAACTTGATTGTATTTTAATGAGCTTTATGTCAACAAAGCGTTCTGCTGTGCTTAAGTCGCGGTGTAGCTGGACGTGTCTGTACCACGCGTTATCTTTTATCTATCACAGCAGTTGAGCCATCCCGTGCGCTCCCTCCCTAGATCTCACGTCTTGCTAATCTTAAATAATAACTTTCTACACGAATCCTAAACTATCCTAAAATCCTATTTCAACTAATTTAATTCAATAATATAACTATTGTCATTAATTATCCACTTTCTATCTGGCGATTTCGTAATGTATTTTGGATTGTCGTCACGTTGAACACTGTTGCAATTAACTTTAGCCCCCCCCATTTGAATTTTTTGAGCCCCCCCCAAGAATTTCAATGACGCAGTCTGCGTCACGGCCCCCCCTTGTGGGCACCCCTGAAAAAGCTTGATGTGTTACATTGGTGAACCAAACAATCAAAGCCTCGTCTAAGTACAAAATTGTAATTAATATTTGCTGGACTAGTTTCTGAGCATACATTTTTAGTAATAGATCATAAAACTAGACTGGAGTTAATTAAAATTTCAATCATTTGAAAAAAAATTAGGTAAATAAATAAATAACAAATCAATTCAAAATTACTATTATTTTTAAAACAATACTAATACAATAAACAAAATTTTATATACAGGTATGTGGTATTTTATGTTATACAGTAATAGTATTCATATAAGAACAGTTAACTAAACATTGATACAGAAAAGCAAAACTTACCAGATAAAAACTTTTGAGTTCTTGATGAAGAACTTGTGCATTTGCTTATTGAAATAAATTATACATTAAACACAGGGACAATAATATAAACTAGGACCAAGCAAAAGGTATGTTATTAACCGTCTTTGTAATATTTACACAATTTGTTTAACATTAACACTATCCGTTCAACATTGATATCAAATATAGAAACTCATAAATCTTATAAACTAGCTTAGGTAGAAAATTAAAACTATAATAATAAATACAGTATGAACAAAACACTTAAGAAACTTACAAAAAGAGTTTCTAAAACTTATGAGGAATGACTTTCAATTACCCTCCTGCAAATCAACCTTTACAGGGTGTCTACTAGTTTGTGGTAAGAAAATTACACAATTTTTAACTGTAGCTAACCAAAATAGATTGTTTAGAGCTAAACATAGAGACTTTGGCGGACCTCCATTACACTAAATTTTAAAAATGTCAACAACTCTGTTACTAACGATCACCTAAACTATTAATTACTCTTTGAGTTGGGAAAGTTTATTACAGCCTATCAAATATCTCCATTAGGAACATTAAACACCTTACCTGGCATTCCTATCCAACAAATAGAATATTCAAATATTTCTCAATTGAACCTAACTTGACTGAAAAAAAAGCTGATCGATAACAGATAAGGGATAAATACTTATACGGTTTGATAGATAGAATTTTATAACACGTTTCATCGACATAGGCTTAAACCCAAAATTACTTTTAACCACTTAGCCCGACCTAAATTGATGGAAATATCTCTACAGCACCGAAGTACAGAGTAAAAACTCATAGATTATAATCCAAAGCGAACGACAGCCATAACATTGGCTTATTTTGTGTTTGTTTAATCGTCTCATCGTGTAATTGTTCCTAGGAGACTTGTTATTATCTCCTGAAGCTCTTGTTTGCTGTAGTCCTCCGGCAGTGGCAGTTGGTGTACCAGGGTTGCCAACACTGACATTGACATGTCCATGGTCTGGGCGTTGCTGCCCTTCTGTAGGATCAACACTGTGCGGATCAGACTCACTGCTCGCTTGGCTATCTCTACTTGACATAACCTGCAAAATTAAGTTACATACAATAAAATACACTGATATAAGTGGTTATTTAATAATTCTCATAGTCTTGTTATTTTGTTTACTTTAACACCAAAGAATCTATCCAGAAAGAAACCGAGACACTTTTACTTTCTCCCCATGTAGGCCTACATACATGGTATATGTAAAAATGAAAATTATTGATTTGGTCAACATTTCTGAGTTTGAGTTTAGAGTAGGAAGGAAATATGCCTTTTAATGTCAGGCTACTGGGAGAAATTAAGTGTCAGTTTGCTGATACCGTTTATTTTATATGGTACCACCTATATTTTTACAAACACAATGGCATTAAAAATAGCTTATTTTTTACAGGTATGTAAAAGGAATTGTCTAGAAGTATGCAAATTCAATTATTGTTATTACTTCAGACATAAAGAAAAACGGAAGCAACTCCAGGTCTTTTCTAGAAGAGGGATTTACTCATTGACATTGTGCTGTGTTAGAGAAGGTTAGGTTAATTTAACTTTGTTTTGTATCACGACACCCAACGTAACATTTACGAAGTTTATCTTTTTCTAAACACATTAAAAAGGGTGAACGAATAAAAATTGACGTCTTAAAAAATCTAAAAAACAAACAAAACAAGATCAAAACTTTTGATTCTGTAAAACTTACCTTGTTTGTAGGGATGGACAGATTGTACTTTTAGTTTGGGACGGGACACAATTTTTTTCCGATGCAAAAAAAGGTTAAAAAAACTAGATTAAATATTCTTATATAATATCTTATATTTGTTTCTTATATAAGAAACAAAACCAATTTGCACTGGTAACAATTTACACGAGTAACAGGAAATGTTGAATAAAAATTGTTTGTGAACAAGTAGGGATTACTTCTTTGTGATTATCTTAAACTAAACTTTAAAAAACTAAACTCAACAATCCTAACCTACCGACCACTGCAGCTTACACTAAAGTGGGGACCCTATTCTTAAACCAGACCACAACTTAAATCAGTGCAGTTCGCCTTTTTTATTTTTCAAAATACAAATATCACAAAAGTATTGTCAGCACCTGTGTATCGCTGTAGGTGTGGGTAGCTGAGGTATCCGGGTACACAGGCTAGTGAACAGTGGCTGAAGTCTCTCTAGGTGATAGCCAATGGTGTTGTCCCTGTGCTGAGTCATCAGCAGACTCACCTGGTGCACCATGCTGAGGTAGTCGAGCAGCAAAGACCCTTCGTGGCTCCAATTACTGATTACCTGTGAGCACAAATATTGTTTAGGACTTCATCAATTACTGGTAGTTGAGAGAGGTACAGTAGAGCGTCAACAATCTGAACCAATTGGGACCTTAGGTAGTTCAGATTACCGCTACTGATTTGTTAGGATTTTCAAACAAAACCTAGAAATGACTAATAGACATATATAGAGTTTATACATTACATTGTAAACGAACAAAACACTGACGCACATTCACTCATTTCCCTGTCAGGCACCAACTGTTTGGCCCGCGAAATTGTAAAACACCTGTTGTCTCTGTGCCAATTCAATATTTTAAGACCCTCAGAAACGGTTCGGATTTTTGACGTTTTGATTTTCAACACTCTACTGTAATTGATAGAATGAGTTGAGAAATCTAGATTGAGATGGTTCAGCCTCTTAAGAAGAATGGAAAATGATAGCATTAAGAATTCCCACAAAAATGAGTGAGCTCCACAAGAACGGAAGAAGACCAAGAGGAAGACTTAGAAGAAGGTGGATTGACCAGGTGACCAGGTGGTGCTTTTGCAGCAACCCATTTATAAAACTTGGTAAGATTTTGTGATTTTTCAAATTTAAAAAATCAAAAGGTAGCAAATTGCCTAAAGTGAAAGTACAACTTTCAAATAATTTACTCGTCCTATCAACAGCTCAGAAAGCTCCTTTGCAGATATGTGAACGCCTCAGTTTCGCAAATAATCTGACACAAATTGGATTCGAACCTCTCATCGTCACAAAAGATAGATCTAGGACTTCCAAAAGGTTACAGCATGCAGATACATCGATCGTCCTGACACTCTTGATAAGTTGAGCTATAAAATGATAATTAGACATTTATTTACCTTACTATGAGGAGCCAGTCGTTTCAGCAAACCTTCCAGGTATTGGTACTTATCTAAAAATAAGAATCATAATTAGTAAATATTGTGACAAGTGTAACTTAAGTGTTTTAAAGCTTTGGGTTCACCCATACATAAAGCATATCCAAAACAAATGTTTTGATGAAGAATAGTAAAACCTTAAGGTAAAGAATACTTATACACATTTCTTATACTCATACAGTTCTTATACACATTCTTATATACATTTCTTCATCACAGCACAAAACTGTACAAAAGTATGCTAAACAGGAACCAGGAACATTCTTAAGACTTCCTTGCTTGAGCCACCCTTTTATGCAGACGTGTTCAACTATGTTTCTTGGCATACTATCTTACTACTTTGTTTTGTACGTGCTTATACTATAACTTCTAACTATATAATGATAATGTATTATTGTATTATATAAATGCGGGTTTACACGATGCCAGTAAGTGAGATTGTTAGAAGACTACTGACTGGCATGTGATTGGCAACACTTCAGGCCAATTGTCCTGAAATTCTGTTATCTCTGGGAGTAGACTGAGGACAACTGTGCTCCGACATTATGCGTATATAAAGTAAAAAAGTACAATTTTTTAAAATTTGAAATTTACTTCTGTTTTAATAAAGTGGATTCCTGTTAAAATAAACAATAAAAAAAGATATACTAGAACTTAATTTAGTCTGTAGGTTTGTTTCAACAGGATAACTTATTTAATTTTATGAATAATTTAATGTATAGTTCGGCCGCTTAGAAAGCTGAAACATTGGTTTAGCATTAGCGCGCAGGTTGCTTTCTAAGCGGCCGAACTATAGCCTTGTAGCTGATAAGACAGGTGACTTTTAGGACCAACAATCAATTCTTGATTTCAATTTAACTCTTTGAAACAGTGCTTGTAGCTAAATATGAGTTATGGGTGAGAGTAGAATGGAGTGAGATGCTGCGATTTCTTTGTTAAAAGCCCAATGATCAGAGACAGCTGGGTCCAGTTTTGTTTTGAACTATCAATAAATTACCTACCTACTTTTCTCAGAATCAAACTGGCGACCTTTTGATTAGGCCTGATAGGAATACAAATAATAATAGTAAATTATTTATAATTAACTTTGTATCAAAATATCAATGGAAGTGTGGTTTGTAAACATAAAGAGTTATCAGAATTTTAAAATAGCTAATGACAAAACAAATTGTCACTAGTATATACCAGGAGCCAGTACTTTAGGGTGATTTACTGATGTTGCTAACACAAGTGTTTCTTACCAAAAAGTACAATAAAATTTTAGGGTTTATGAAGGATATTCACTAGAAAATAAAATCTGCATTTGTGGGGTGGGGGAGTATGCTTAAGCAATTTCTATCTATTGTGCAATAATTGTGAAGTAATAATTCCATTGACCATTATAAAAGAAAGTATTAAGAATAATAAGAACTCTTCAATAGACACATGTACACAACATAATATGCAAAATATCTCCACCAATATGCAATATATTGTATATTGGTAATATGCATGCTATGCATTAGTGTGTTTACACATGTAATCCACCTGTATTAGAGGTTCTGATAGCAGAACTTATTTTTTAGAAATGTTGATATTCTAAAACTTAAAAAAAAAAGAAACTTGTATCGATTGTTTATTGCTTTATTTTTGTCAATAATATAGTACAAACCATTTATTATTGCTTTGGCAGATATATGTTGTATAATCACTTTGTGTGCTTCATTCCATTGTTCAGCTTCCAGTAGGAACATTGCTGCTTCTTTGTGTCTGTAAAAAAGATGTTGTTGTTAAAAAAAAAATAATCTCTTTGTAATTTACCAACAACTATAGCTAGCAGAGTCTGCGGCGAAAAAATAATGACTTTTCAATCTCACTATCTAAACAGACTGCAATCGTGATCAAATTCTATAATTATGTGTGGTTTTCAATCCAATCAAACTTATTTCAAAGTCAAGATTTATTTTAAATAATTACAACTTTATGGATAACATGTAACATTGGAATCACAATTAAACAATAAACATTAATGAGTACTCTATACTATCAGGCAACCGAGGAATTTGGGAACAATGTAAGGATGTGTAGATGGACTATGTATTACCACTGTTGGGGCATCAATAATTTGGGAGATAGGAACTAGACCAGTCCCATACACATCACTTCCAATTGGCAAGTTATAGATGTTTCCTCAGAATAGGTTGATAAAAACAATCAATACTAACTAGTTGGGGTTTCAGACCATGTGTACCTCCCCGATTTTCCACAAATTCTGATAAAAAGTGTTCAAAATCTGGTTACATGTTCATACAAAATTTAACAACTGTTCATAGATACTTACTGGAAGTGTGAGGAAGCCTTGATAGCCTTAACTTGGTACACCCACTGTCGAGGAATGTGAAGTTGGTTGATGAGGAATGACTCCACCTTAGCAGCATCTTCATCTTGCGACAGTGAGATGTGACGACCTAGCACATCTAACACAGCCTTGCGTCGTCTGCAACATAACATCATGTATGTAAAATATAGACTACATCATAAAAACTGTACAAAAACCACACAATTTCAACCTTTCATATGGACTGAAGAAGTCGATCAATTTAAATAATTTAATATATCTTTTTATTTTTAAAGAAACCCTAAAAAGTAGAAATGTGATTATCATAATTGTGTTAGTTATCTGAACATTTTCACATAAGCCTTTGAACTGTTTCTCCAAACAATTAATCTCAATACAGTAGACCCCCTCTTAACCGACCTCGTATTAACCGATAATCGGATTATCCGCCTTTGATTGTAAAATAATACAGTTTGTTTTAACCGACCTTGCTTTGAGAGCAGCTCGGTTTAACCGCCGCTTTCTAGGAATATCGGCATTTCCGCTCCCACGCTGGGCGATGTGAACTGAACCATACGCTTATCTCCACAGGATATGACTAACAATAAGTTATTTTGTGTTGATTACAAAAAATATTGCATAGCCTATTGTCAGTTTGTCATCATCGTTCGTAGCTCGAGCACATCTGATCAGATATGTTATCTGTGCGGATCATAAAGTGCGTTACAATTTTGAGAACTGATTATCTTATCGCTGGAGTAAACAAACAACGCAACTTGTAGGGAGGGCAAGGAAGGGGTGTTAACAACTCCAAGGTCAAGATAGTTTTTGTGCCTCAAACCTCCAGTGAGAGGCTATAAATAAACGTCCTGTTTTGTAACAAAATGGTCGCTTGTATCTTTAATGACGACAAAAGGTTCTGTACTGTATTACGATGTATTTGGAAAGCATTAATTAATACACTACAGTAGTAAAGTTATTAAAGTAGGAATTTTATTGACTCTTGCCTAGTATTATAATATATTCACTGAAAGTAGGCATATTTGACTTAACCGTGTTTTGTGTTTATTTGTGACATTTCTATCAATATGAAAAAGGAGATAAGAGTAGTTTATTTTATAAATAATGCAAGTGCAAGTATGACTTCAATATAATGATTATATAATTCTAAATGAATAGCACTTCATTATGTTATGATTTTAGGGATTGCCCGTTTTATCCGACCTTTTGAATTATCCGACCTAGGTCCGGTCCCATTAGGGTCGGTTAAGAGGGGGTCTACTGTATAAAGTTATAATGGTAAACTACAGTCTCAAAACCCCGACCCTTGATTACTCAGCAGATTGGATAACAAGGCCCAGAGTTACAGAGAATTAAAAACTACAAATGTGTATGCCCATGCAAAAACAAAATCCTATGGTAAAGCCAGAGCATTGACCCTACATATCACCAATCAAGGTATTTGCTCACCTGGTGAATGAACTGAAAACAAATATCAATCTCAACAAAAAAATGGTCAATTTTGCTTGTAAATTTCCGACTCTATTTAATTGATGTTATATATTTGAGTGACATTTAGATAATTAAATTTATGTTTAATATAATGGAGGATACATATTATAGTCCTTGCCACCATAACTTGAGGCAGCCTAAACTGACCTGCACGGCAATCACCGGCTGGACCCGTGCGACCCTTTCACAATCTTACTAGCGGCGCACTTCCATGGACACCAAAGCTCAATATTAGCATCAATAAAACTATAATCTGATATATTAATTTACTCGTTTACATAAATAGCACAAATTTAAAAAAAATTTCTGTTTACGTCCCATCTGAAACGGATAATTTTACAGATTCAAATTCTTTTTCTTCTGTGCCATATTTAATTAATAATAAACACATGAAATTCTCAGAGCATTTATGTAATCTTAAAATGTTATATTCGATATCTCAGCATTTTCACTTACTCAAACACCCCATTAGGCCGGGTTTATGAGAATTATTTCTACCGAGAATTTGTTGAGGGCAACATACCCATTAGGATCGGCAAGGTGTTGCAACACAAAGACAGCCCAGTGCCACAGCCCGTGCGCCTCCAGCTGGGCAGCAAACCCTGTGTGTATATTGGCAGCCGAAACTGCGGAAACATGATTGTAGCCGAGAGCCTCGACTGTGCGCAACAGCAGCCAACTGTGGACAACATCAACACATCAGTCATTGACTGGACTCAACACTTGTAAAGGTGCTGTCCACACAAAAAAGATGCAACAACTTCATTTCATTTCATAACACCAACAACAGATTAAACTTCTGATAAAATCGCTTGTGTGTCTACACTACAATAATTACTCAAACACTGTGTTAATTAGGTTACTGAACGTTTGGTAATGTGATGCTCTCAATACCATTATAGTATATGTTACCATTGTCAATAAGATGATTGTATCACACATTATTTTACTTTTACACATTCTTAACTTTTTTTAAATATTTTGCTAGCCACTTACCAATGCCTACCCACTACCACGGTCACAATAACCTAAAAAAGCCACAAGCTTACTCCTACCTATATACTCCATACTCCCATCTCCCTGACCTAAAAAGCCATTAGCCTACCTCTACTCCTAACTAGGGGTGTGCGAAGCAGCAAAAAATTTTCGATTCGAAGCAACGATTCGATTCAAAAGATTTTCGATTCGATTCGATGCAACTCGATTCGAAGCAATACGGTATTTTTCTATTCATAATTGTCAATTGAGTGGATTAACAATAATTAAAATTTATCACATTTGTGTAATACAAATTTTTGTTGATGTGGTATTAGGCCTATTCATACTTAAATATGAATTTTAGGTGAAAAAATATTTATTTTCAATCATATGTATTAGAATAACTGCTGGAAATACCAGTGAGCTGCTTTACTTGCCTATTTCATAATTTTTACTTGGAATTGGCTCAACTGCAAGAAAGAAGAAAATATTTTTTTATCAAGACATTCATTCTCATTTTAATAACTGTTTAAATAACTAAATAGGTACCGGTAGCTAAATTACAACAAATTTGAATGGAACTTAATATAAAAAGACCATTAAGAAATAAATTTACATATCACAAGTTTAGGGCCTGTGGACCGGCTTCAGGACTGCAAGCAAGAAGAAAATAAAAATAATATGTTTCCACCATGCAACATGTATCATTCATTCCCTGCCTCCTAACCTCCTTAGTATAATAACCTCACACTTACATTATTTGTTACATCATCATAAATAAAGAATTATTATTGGCATCAGTAGGCCTACAGCTTTACATAGGCATTATTTTTATAGGGCCTAAAATAGTAATAGGCTAGAAGCAACATGTCAAGTGGAGAACTCATTGAAGAAAAGATATTGTGTAAACTAATTTCCTATAAAACTCAAAAACAGTAAATAACATACAAACATTGTTTATGGTATAATTAATAAGGACTAAAAAATGCATATCATGTCATACAGTAGTATAGACCTACCGGTACTGCAAGAGATTAAAATCCTAAAACAACTGATTTTGATAGCTAATGAATGAAAAGAATTAAAAATCCATAAAATGAAGCTAAACAATATCACAACTAATTAGGTACCCGAAAAGTAACTCTTAAATAATATATAGAAGATTAAAATAATATTAAATCAAGAGACAAGAAAGTTAAATGCTATCTTCTAGTGCCCTTGGCAACACAGGTCAATGTTTTTAAACTACCCTCAATGTTTTTGGAACAGCAGGGCCTTTTTCTCTTAAGGAAGGGTAGTAGTATGTCAACAAAAACAATGAATCAGTCTCACCAGCCAGGCCTGGGCAACGATGTGTGAATTCAAGGTCATAGACCCTCCCCCTCCCCTCTTACACCACCCGGTTGCTACCCAGTTGCTTCAATTGCTGACAAAATGCAAGTGATGAAACAAGGAAGTAGAGACAAAGAAATATATTTCTTTATACAAAAACACAAAACTGTTAGAGATTATTTTCAAAGAAATTAATTCAATGTAATTTGTGAGTTGTAAATATTGTATTGGATCTTAGAAATATATTTTTTTAACCCTATTTAACCAAGATACAGATCTGTTCACTATATCAGATATTTCTTTTGTTTATAATTTATTATGTAAAATACTAAAATATATTTTTAATTAGGTATTGAATGAACAATAAATGATTATACTAGTATGTCTGGATAAATAGTCTTTCTATTCTTTTGACTTTGTTTTCTTTGCACTGTTAGTGTTGCATCACGGCTTTTGTCTTGTTACTCTTATCAGTAGACGACTAGACCTGGCTCTGGCTAGTGGCAGTGCGGCAATTGCTCTGTTGTGTCTTTATTCTTAAAGGTCGTGAGCCAACTTAATTTTTAATTCTCATTTGAACATTTTAATTCCTCTGTAATAGATATAATAATATAAGAGTGTTTCTTTGGAAATAAATTATTCTTTTTTTTCTTTTGCCCCAACAAAAATTCGGGGACGGGGACCGACAGACACCTAACAAAAATACCAAATGTATCAGTCTATAACATTGATCTTACTAGCTAAGTATTAAGTAACAATTTTTCAGACTTATTTTTAAAATGATTTTGGAGTAACCTACCTTGTTTTGGCTAGGTTCACAGTAGTAAAATATTTCACACACTGCTTACATCAAGACAAAAAACAAAACCTCTAATCATTTGCAATGTCAAAACAAAAAAATATAAAACAATTAAAGCTATATTTAATGCAAAGAATGTATTAAATAAGAACGCCTTCGTAAAGGAAACGCAACAGCAACGCGCTCCTGTATTGCGGGTATTGCATTGACTTTCTGCAGGCGTTTTTCGTATATGGATACTGACTCCCTCGTGAATCGAATCGTTTTTTGACCACCACTGAATCGAATCGCGATTCGATGCATCGAATCGAATCGAATCGAAATTTCGATGCATTTTCGATGCATCGCACACCCCTACTCCTAACCTAGTCAATTGTATTTTAACATATTGAGTGCAGGCTACTTCTATTGATGTAGTGTGTCACAAGCACACGAGACGTAAACTCTCGGGGTAACGCAGCACCATCACCCTCGCTCTTTTGCAATTCGTCAGACTGAAATATTTGAATGCCAATTGCGGTGCCGGGGCTTCGCCCGACTTTGGGTATGTTTTACATAATATCCTACTCATCTTGATGATCTATATATAACTTTTCTAATTTTTCTACTACTGACGATAATACCTTAAACGATTGTCCAAGGGGTCGGCCGAATGTGTCGCAGGATTGAGCAGAGGTGCAAGTGGATGTGCTCGGCTGCTGTACAGTTTCAGCAAGTGGTAGCAGACGTCGTACACTGTTTGCCCGCCTGTGCTCTCCCACTCTAGATCACCTAGGTGGCTCGGTAGCGGCGGGCAGGCGTAAGGGTCGTCATCATCATCTGAGAAGGCCGCCTCATACCGCAACAGAGCATCGGTCACAGAGGCCACAGGTGAGCATATATACCTGCACAAGGTCACATTCACCTTCAGAGAACTGAATGTAGATATTGTTGGTTCACCGAATATGGGAAATAAAATAATAAGGAGGAAAGTGGAAAGATTCAGGGTCGTCCAAAAATAATAAATTTGATAAGTTTGAGATGTAAAAAGTTTGAATAAATTGAATAGTAAAAATCTTAGATTCTTGTTCAATTATTATCGGAAACTTTTAGAACAGTGCACAAGAATGTATAGAACACTGTGCTGGTGTTGATTGAAGTTCATTAGAGACCTTAACTTAACAACAGCTGTCATAGCTTTTGTCATCAAAACTTTTCTATGTCAATTCAACCAATTCTCCTGTATGAAAGCAAAACATAAATTTCAAGAAGACACAAGAATAGATTAAGAAAATGCACATGGTTAGATAAAGTGAGGCTAAGGCTTAAACACCTTGGTTATTTTATAAGTGGCCATAAGAGTAAGAAGTCATAAGTACAGGAGATTCCCGATTATCCACAATAATATTATCCACGATAATAGTGTCTTGAGTGATTGTGGATAATTGAAATCTAGTATAATGCAAAACTAACCTAAAATGTCCAGGAAATAACTAAAATTTAGTTTAAACGTATAGTTAAGCTTCAATGCAGGTTTAGGTACCACAAAGTTTTATGTACAGTGTAGATGCCTTTTAACTTTGTTTCACAAAAAGTCTACAAAACAAATGATATTTGAACCCTACCACAAATGCAGAGCGAAGGCCCGTTTCCAGTCGAGGTTCTCGCAGATGTTGATGAGCTTGTCGGAAGCATGCAATATAGGCCGGCCAGCTGCCAACATCATCAGTTTGAGGCGGTCTTTGTCTATCAGCTTGTCTGCCTCAGTGTCCACCCACTGTGTCAGCTGCTGCTCCATCATTACCTTCACACTGCTACAACCTCCCAGCTGTGCGAGCAGAAGAGATGTGTATGCATCACCTGTCCAACACACTCACAGTCAGTTGGTATAGGTTAAAAGTGACAAAATACCTGATCAGATGTGAAGTCCTTTTAAATTGCTTGACCGAATGTGGAAAAAACTGATAACTCGGTTTTTTGTCATCCGATTTTAACAAAAAAGGTTTTATTTTATTTGGATTTCTATCTTTGATATTCAAAACAATTTTCTTAGTATTTACGGTTTTCATGAAATTTGTTTTTAAGGATTTGAAATGGCTTGAGATATTGGAATTAAATTTGTTAAGCTCTTTTTACCTTTAAAACTACATATTTGTATAAATTTTGAAATTTATATCTTAAAGATATAAAATAATTAAACAAAATCCCAAACAAACTGACAGACAGAAATCTAGGCATTTCTTCTAGGACTCATACTTATATGGCATTTTATGTTTGTCCTAGTCCACAAAATATGTCCAGACAATTTGGAAACACCCTGTATAACGTTAGTCTTTTTAGGTAGCAGCATTTGATAACCTAATGACAAGTGGTAGGTATAGAACTGATACTTTCAAGATGAAATTAGATATGAAGCGACTATAATCACTTGGCTACCCAAAAGATTTAAGACAATAATCGTTCATGGGAATCTCTTTTAAGCTTTTCCTTTCAATGCTTTCTGTGTTCAATTTGTTTTTTAACCAGTCATGTTGTACATGTCTGTATTACTTACCAATAATGTTTGCCTGGTTGCAGGCCTCCAGCACACAGTGGCCAGTCAGCAAAGAGAAAACATTAGCTGCTGTGTTGGTCGTGTCTTGTGCCAACTCTCCTCTCACCTTCTCTGTGACGACAGTCTCCAGCCAGTCACTGACAGCCTGCCGTCGTACCATCACAGCATGATGACTTGTGGGTAGCTCTGCAACCGATGCAATACAATAACAAACTCTACACATACTAGGGATGGACGGGTACGAAATATTTACAAAAATATATTCTCAACTTTTGGGTGGGACTACAATTATTTCGGGATTTTCTCGGGATCGAATTCAGCCCAACTATCATCTCTATTGCTGCGATCAGGAATGAGGATGATGGTGTATCGTAGAAGACGCTCACGATTATGTTGCTATTGCTCGAGGAAATGATTTTCCGTGATTGCTGGAAATTTTTCCACTCTTGGGAGGGATGATGTTGCTTTCGTAATAGCGGAAGCACTTGAATTTGCCACGATCGCTAGAGTTGTCCCTGCAATGGCTGCAGATAACTAACGATAGTGCCGCGGTTATACCGAATGAAAATACATTTGTTTATCATTATTGCAATTTACAAGAATTTTTACTCAAGAACTGTAAAACAAAGTCAAGTCTCCCTTGTAGCTAGAGAAGAAATTTCTGTTCTGTTCTCATCCCGAAAAATCAGGAAGCAAATAAAAACCTATCATAAACTAAATGTTCATCCCGTTCATACGTAATGAATAATTATAATTCTACATGATTGCTGCAAAAAGAAAATTTGAATGATATACACACCATGGGGGTCGAGGTCAGGCAGGTCGCCCCACAATGCTACACACAGTTGCCACACCTGTAGAGCAGGGCCGTGTGGGGGACTGTGTAGAGCCTGGTCACAGTGGGCGTGTAAAGCAGCAACCCCAGCCTTGGGAGCTGCTCTGGGGCACTCCTCACCCTCACTCCATAGCGAGTGTTCCAGGGCAATCTCCAGATGTTCTTCTATACTGGACTGAAACAATATAAAAACAAACGTCGGTTTAAAAGTTGACAATTTCAAACTGATACACTCAATAACGATTAATATCAAAGTTTTTGAGGTTAACAAATCAGTTAGTGTAATAAATCAAAACTTCAATGTACCACTATTTCATCCTTTTAAATTTAGTTGAGTAATATATTACAAGATTATGAGCTTTGTTTCCTATGAGGTGAGATCTATAAAACTAAAGCTCCTAGAGGTCCTTGTAAAAAGTTATCTCAACTTGTACTTAGACATGTTACTAATGTACAGTAAGTGTACGACTACAAAGCAACGCTCTTAACATAATAAATTATTCATTAAGTTTTACCTGGAAAGAGACATTGGATGCCTCATCATGGCCTGGGAGGATGCGGATACGCTGCACAATGGAGGGAGAAGTATCTCCGTCCTGTCTTCCCTCCAAAACTGTAGCCAGCTGATCCATGGGCATTGACCAGTCTACCGTACGAGCAACCTGGTAACAAAGAAACAAGTGAGATTTTAAATTTGGAATGCCACGGCTACCTTAAGCAGAGCGCAGGTGACAGTAGAGTATCATCTCATAATAGAGCTGGAACATTGAAATCCCAATAAACCGGCAAATTCAATAACAATCCAAGATTGATCCACACAAAATTATTAAAGTTGGTGGAAATTCTTTGGAGTGACAAATCAAAAGAATTGGAAGAACAGCCTAATGCTTAGTAAAAATCCCAACCATGCTGGTTTTGTAAGATTTCTACGGTGGCAGGAGTAAAAGGAAACATTATTAGAAGGCCTAGTGCCTAGTGTAGAAGATAGATAAAAAAGTGTAGCCTATAACAAACCACCCATAAAAAAACAAGACTTTAAATAAGGGCTACTGAACCTAATAACCAAGATATACCTTATGTGTACTGAGTGAAGCCAAGACGCCATCCTTTGCCCAGCCAACTCTGAAGCTACGGCCCTTGAACAATGCCAAGTCAACAGCACAGCGAGCAGCCACATCTGGTCGAGCAGCAAGGGAGCGTGAGTAGCAGACGACGCCAGAGTCAGGCAGCGTGAGGGCTCGGTGTTGGGGCTTGACTGTGGGTACGGGCGTAGCTGCGGGCATCTCAATCTCGGCTGAGGGCACTGGACTCATCTCTCGCTCAACTGAACAGACAAGTTTAACAGGTGCTATCTACTAACTCTGAGTAGTGGATGATGAGATCTTGATCTACTTACCTATAAAAAGCATATTTGATAGGGAAGGGAAGGTTGTGTAGCGTCAGCTGATGTTGTCTTAGCAACCATTATGATTATTGTTGTTATTGGTTTTTTAGAGGAATGTACACACTTTTAACTCTTCTAATAATTTTTTTTTATATTTAAATTTTGCCAAATTTAAGATTAAATTTGACTTCAAATCAAAATTGCTCACCTTTGATTCAGAAATTATATGAGGTTATAATCTAATCAAAGTACAAAATCAGTTATCATGACGAGTTACATTTTGCAAGCATATCAAGAGTATTATCTTTCCTCTTTTTGTTTTTAAAACGAATTTATAATTGGCTTTTAAAAAATCTCTTTTATTCCCTCTCAGATTTTTTAGAGGAGAAGAAAATTGTATTTTAGCTTGTAAAAAACATATTTTGTATGCTTATATGTTTTATGACCTTTGACTAGTTATATCCTTGACTGTTGCTAATATATGTATAATGTCAATGGCAAATAAAGATTTTTATTCTATTCTTCACAATTTATTAACTTACTCAAAAAACCTGCATACTTGTTGTAACTATTTATTGAAAACTGATTCTGTTTCATACTTTAAAGAGTTCAAAAGAATCCTGATACATGTTTAACCACTGATCTAGAAATAAACTGACACAGCAACTCTACTAGAAAATCGACACACAGTATTTTTTTATTTTTTATTCAGGTGCCAACTACAAGAATTAACCAGCTCATTTGGCTCTTAGCTTTAAAACAATCCCATCTTTAGCCCCCAGTTCCAATGTAAGTAGAATTTCTACAATGTACTATACCCCTGGTCTCAATCTCTCAATTCCCTCATTCATTGCTACCTCCAGTTGTATCTATAGCTCAGAGTTTTAACCACTGACTCAAGGGGCTTGACTGTTCATTCACTAGTAATCTACAATAGAATTTCAAAATAAGTATATTTGCTAAACTATATTGGCTTAAGCTATGTGCAAGTAAAATTAAACTTGACACTTTTTATTCTGATAAATTTAAACAAAAATAATCACCTCCAACCGGTTGAAACGGCAAGGGAGGAGTCTCTTCGTATTTGCTGAATTGAGTTCGAAACAGAGGAAAACTCTTGAAAAGCTTTGTTCCTTGGTCTAGTTCTTCTACATCAAGCATTGCGCCCATTCTATAATCGATGAAGTCACCATCTGTAATGAGAATATGATTGTTGATTGTTCATAAAATAATAGTGGGGATTGTGAGTTATTATTAGACTATAAATATTTCCTTTTAAGACTGAATGCAAACTGAATCAAGATGGAACATTGATGCTTTCTGAATGGCAATGAGTATTGTAAAATAAGGAAGCAAAATAATGGTTATAATAAGATAAATAAATAAATGTTAAAGTTGTGGATAACATTTCTTGAAAATATTTTAGTAATAGGCCTACTTCCTGAAAAGGTTATCTACACATTATACTAGTATTTCAATAAATAATTAATAAGTTAAAATAACATTTAAAATAAAACAACAAAGAATTATGTGTCATGGTTGCAAATGAAACATTGCTTGGATAAAGTAACTATTAATGTAAGAGCAAATATTTTTGAAATTGATTAACTTCCATATAAAGATTTTATTTTCCTATTTTTTTTACATGATTCAAAACAAGTAACACAACTTCTTCCTACAACCCAGGTTTTGTTGTGTCATAATTATGCAGATAAAGCCTTTATCAAGAATATCACATGTCAAAAGTTACCAGTTGCTTGGATGTTGTCATAGATTACATGGGGACACGCACAATTTTCACATGGCATGTGTATTTCTCCGTGAATTTATATAAATGAAACCCTTGTATGATGGGCAAGCGTCTGACGACTTAAAATGTAAAATTCTCAACAATGACATTTGATAACACAACCAGCGTCAAAACCTTGGTTTTAAAAAGAAGCATATAGTTTAAGGACAAAAAATAAGGTAGATTGCATGTCTTATGATTGCATTGCATGTCTTACAGAGGCAAGCCAAAAAGAGTAATATAAAACTTTTTTTACTCACTGATTGGGAATTCGTCGACCTCATCTGGGAAGAAGGAAGCCTTCATAAGTTGCACCTTCTGAGCAGACGCACCCATCTGTCTTGCTAACTGCATGGAGGGACTCAGCTGTGTTGGCTGGTAGTTGTCATCTGGCAAAAAAAAACAGAGGGTTACAAGAGTGGAAATTGAGAATAGATTTACATCACACGGAAACACCAGGGTGTCTAGTTTATTTCCATTTTAAAATTCAAGACTAAATCCAGACTTTTTGAGACTAATTCCAGATTTTTCAAACAAGTTTTTTCAACAATTAGTGATGAGTTGATACCAAAATATATTGATTCTCAATTCTTGATGCCGATACAAATTTTTATAGTTCAACAAAATTTTCAAAATAATTTGGTTATACTACACCAACCCCTGTCTTTATGTCATAAAGCATTATTAAGATAATGGGATGTTTTTCAAGTAAAGACAAAAATGAAGCAATGAAAAAAACTAACTAGAAAATTTGGGTTTTTTTTTTTATCATGAAAATCCTCCGCGACCATGTAGACATCATCATTGACTGCCGCGGACATGGAAACGTCATTGTCGTCTCCCACGGTCTCAGGAAACACCATCATCATCGTCTGCGATCGCGGCAAAATTATGAACATTTCACGCAGCCGTGTAGACATCATCATTGACTCCTGCGGTCATGGAAACGTCATCATCGTCTAGTGCAATCAAAGAAAAATCATGAAAATTTAGGACTGTGATATCAAAATAAAGACTAAATCCCGACTTTTCAAGACCATTTTGAAATTCAATACTAATTCCCGATTTTCCCGACTACTAGACAACCTGTGGATTAGATGATGAGTTTCGCTACTAAGATTAGCTGGTTCGCTGGTTCTTTAGCTAGAAAAACAATTGATTAAAAATCCAAAGCTCAAGGATCTTAATCAGTAAAGAAGCTATCAAGAACAGCTTGGGCCAGCTTCAATCCATTAAAAATCCTCGGACTTTCTCAGGATCTGGTAATCTGATTTTGATGTGAGCACTATCCTCTCAGCTACCCATCTATATTGCTTCAAACATTTGTTCCTATTAGTGTTACAAGTCACTTGATCTAGAAAGAGTTGGTTTTAAGTTTTATTCAGTTGCAGAAAATATTGCCAGATAAAGGTATGACTGCTAGCCTCTATGACATAACAGAGAGGGGAAATGCAAAGACAAAGTTGCCTTTTTGCTTAAGACTCAATTAGTTGTCTAGCTAATAGCTAGGTAATTGAAAGCGCACAAGTGGAAGATTACGTTTTCGCTCATACAGTAGGTCCAGCCAATCACCCTAATGTTATTTATTTTGCCATAAATTTCAGAGCGATATTTTACATAAGTTGCTTCTACATTCTTCCCACCCATGAAGCTAGTGGACAAGAAGTTTAGTGAAATTAGGTGAAGTAAAATAGTTTACAAACTGCTAATCTTTTAGTTATTTTAGCTTGTAGATTTACTGTCAAGTAGCTAGTAATCTTCTTTCATGTAATTGCGCTTTACCTTTTAAACTTAAGAAATTATTTGTTGATTTAACTTGATTATTTTGATACAAACATATCTTATCACATGAACAAGCCAATTTCTTGTGTACCAGGTTTTAATAGACACACACAGTAAAGATTGGTGAACAGAATCAAAATGCTTGGCTGTTGTTCAAACCAAAAAGGTTACTGCCTAACAATACCGATAAACCCAATACCAGTTTCGAAAAAGGAAACGGGCAGACTTTACTGAACATCTAAACAAATTAGCTGATTATTTTATAAGTCTAGTTTTAAAGTTTAATATAATTCAGTAACATCTGACACGTCTGAAATTATACATCTTTTCCTCCTAGTTGTCAAACAGTACATGTTTGCAACAGCAATGACAGCACAAGCATTTTGTCCAACTTCGTTCATATACCCCCATACAAAAATGTACGTCTTTTATGTACTATGGCCAATCTAGACTCTTACTACTTGGTAAGCTAGCTGCTATCCCATTATTGTAAAATTCACAATCCATGAAAAACCCTTCCTGTGACAAAACTAACCCTAAAAGAATAAAACCTAAGGTAAAAAAGACACTAAACTGTAAAGATAAAATATATTTTTTAAGTACATATGAGTTATTCATTAAACAAATCTTGAATATTTAAATACATGCATTATCAAGCAACTACTTTCCCAATGCTTCTAATGAGTACAGTTTAATATGAATTAGGCAAATAGTAAAGTAGATTTACAAGATCAAGATTACAAAAAACAAAAAATAGCCTTTATCATAAAAAAAATTTATTATAAAGAAAGTTACAGAATAAAGAAAAAGTTGACTATTTTTCTTCTTTCAGGTGCAAAAATATGATAAGAACAACTTATTAGGTACTTTAAATTACAATATATGATAAGGATAAAATAATAAAACCTTATATCTCATCACATTAAATCCATATATTTATTAATTGAAGGTAGTAAATTAATAGATTAAAACAACTTTATTGCAATAATTAAGAATATATACGATTAAAATATATTTTGATAATTTAACCCTTCCCCTTAGAGACAGGGGGGGGGGTCTTGTGTCCAAAAACAGGCAAATGTATATAAAATAAAAATAAAATATTTTTTTGCACTTTTTAATACACAAAGTTCAGTCTAAATATCTTTTAAAATTATTTCTTAGTGTGTAAAAAATTTAATAGCAAAATAAATGTGGATATATCTGCTACCCATTAGTGAATATGAAGAAGAAGGTGTCTGCATCCACATAACATTTTCATTTTACACAAAATTTTATTTGACTAGCATAACATGATAAATTTAAATGGAAAATATGTTCTAGAAAAATGTTCACATTCACATAACAAATTTAAAGTGTGAAAGTGGTACACAACGATTACTAAGAGTGTTGGAAAGTAGTGCCATAATAGTGTAGAAACACCAACCCGATTACTGTCTAGTTTGTCTACAAAATTGACCGATACATCCTGTTTCCCTTCCACTACATCTACAAGCGCATATGTGTCAACTGTCCGGGAAGGGTCAAGATTCACAAAGAAAACCACATATTTTTTAACTGGAAATAAAATCTGAACAAAATTATACTTTGATTATGTTTACCAACAAATTAACCTACACGGGAAGGTTCAAACATTAACACCTGTATTTAATGGTAACAAAATAAAATAAAGATTCAACGATTTGTTTTAACATTGAAATTGGTAGCTTTACATCTAAATTTCTAAAACAGATTCTAAAAGTCCTACAAACAAAAATATTTAACACTTAAAACTGATAAAAATCTGACTAGAATGTATGTTGTCTGAAAATATAACAATAGCTGAGATAAAAAAAAGTTGTGTATAACACTTCGAAAACCCATCTACTTCAACAAGAACTTTTCATTTTGTGGAAGATAAGTTAACTTATTTAGCTATTTTAAAGGGATGTTTGGTTACACTTTTATGACATAAATTCTCAAATACACAACTAACAATCACACTACTTCTCAACAAACATTTAACAAATTTGCCATTTAGTAATACAGATCAAATAAAACATATAATAGCAATGTATTGATAACAAATATGATACATAATAGCGCATTCATGTACAATGTAGCTGTATGTTCTGAATAAAGAATTGATTGATAGATTGATTGATCATATTCGATGAGGAAACATTATAAGATAACTAATCAATGTTATAGCTCAGTTTACTTTTCAAGAATTCGATAAAGACAAAACGATAGAAAATCAACACAAAAAGGTTACGTTACGTGCCGTTACAGTACAGTTAGTGTCTCTAAGTAAAGCTTTTCTTAGTATTTCATTTAGTAGAATGTAAAACATTTGCCACAAAAACAAATGTCCTTCTCTTTGACAAGATACTATTTCACCCCTTACTAAACAAACATTCTATAGTCAGCATGTCTTTTGACTGATGATTTAAGTAGACTCCCATTCCCAAAGCTGTAGCCAGTTTAAAAATTAAAAAATAAGTAAAGATAAATGAGCTACCGGTAGTGTGCTAATTTGGATTTAATGGTTTTTTTTTTTTTTTGCAAATACGCCAACTTTAACAAAGTCAAACATAAGGACAACTGACAACTCATTGTAAATGATAGCATAGAGGTATCACAGCAAAAACTATGCAAGGAAATTAATCAAATTTTGACAGTAGTACAAAGCTCTGTGAGGGGCTTGTATATCTGAAACAAAATTTGGCTACAGCTGGTCCATATACATGCGATGGATGCTTTAGTATTCTAAAGCCCATGGTATATCCCATCACCCGCTCAAGACTACACCTTGAAAAACAACATCTACGACATGCACCAAGTAAGCAAACTACTCCACACAAAGGCTGTAAAGGTATATTTGGAGCTTCCATGTTAACACTAAGTTTGCAGCAATTTCACGTAAAAGAAGATAGACGATCAAGTCACGAAGGTCACTAACCAAGGTCGAAGGGTGTCTTGATCAGGTCGTCATTCATGTCTTCATCGTCTTCGTCCAGCCCCAACAGTGAAGCAGCCGGGGTACTCTGGGGAGGAGGAATCCAAGCTCCATCTAGGCCGCGTTTCAAACCCAACTGAAATAAGTAAATCAAAATCAATATTTTGAATTGACAAAACACTTTAGAGTTTTTTCCTCTTAGAATAAACAAATAAATAAATTTTTGAACTACAACAAAATTGAGACAACATAATGACCAATAATTATTTATATAGTAACTTTATGTTTGTAAAGTATACTGCTAATGTACATTTAAGAACTGTTTAATAGTGGGAGAGGTCTGATTAACTTCAAAATTTTAAAACACAGTTTTATTATTTGTTTGTTATATCAATCAAAGTTCAAACCGAATTAATATTGAGCGTTGAGATAAATTTAAGATAATCTATTCAAGGTTACGGTTATTTAATGTTTAAGGTAATTAGATGAGTAAAATCGACTAAGTCACGCTAGTGAACAACTTGGCACACATACAATATAAAATGTTCTATTATTATTGATCTTTAAACAACATAAACTGTAAGTATAGCTATACACTCCTCACTAACTCTTGTGGGGAGCACCTGAGCACACTTATTGTTACTATAGGCCTAGACTGAGGACCAACTGACAACATCAGAAGTTTCAAGTCCTGGCCATTCTCAGTTATTTGACCTTGTCAAATTTATGCACCACTCCCAATGTAGAAACATCCAGACCATTAAACATGATGGGATTGTAACAAAATGTACAACATTCCTGTCAAAAGGGGGTGCCAAAAACTAACTACTAATAAAATTTGTCTCTTTAATTTACAGTAAAATAAATATTTCACAAACCTTTTTTGGTTATACACCTGTCAGTATTGCATAACTATTAACAAACCTTTAAAATCAATAAGGAAACATTTGTTATTACCAATATTGTGTTGCAATAACTTCTGTGTTATATGAAGAACCTTAATGCCACTATAGCCTTTACGTAGACCTCTAGCTAGAGCTCCTAGTGTTTAGCAGATACCGTACTTACATCTTTCGGCCCCGGAGGGAAGACCTGGGGGGGAGCTGAACTCAGCCGCAATTTCTTGATGTCCGACACCGGTTCTTCATCCTCGTCTGAATCTGAGAGTCCATACTTAGAGAAATGATCCACCTAAAAACATTGTTTTCAAAATCAGTTCTTTGGTAGATCTTTATATTGGGCCCTAGTCCTATATTAAGTTACCTTGTTGTTTCTAACATCCAATAAAGTCTCTTTAGCCTACACTTGTTAAAGGTTAAAAAGTTTTATGTGTTTTATTAATTGTAAAAGGAGTCAAAAGATTCTTGTTAAGTTTCCACAGCAAGATTTATCTTGACAGTACGCCTCAAGAAAAAGGTAATACTTAACAAGAAAAAAATGATGGGCTAAAGGGCAAAGATATAACCCTTGGACTGCTGCTCTATAGCTCATGCAAGGAGCAAGATCGGACGTCAGTCTACAGCAGGACTCAGGTGGGTTAAGAGTTTTAGAAGTATCGTCAAATTATAACCTCTGTTTGAAAGCATAATCTTGTATAAATCAATCAATCAATCTTTATTTGCCATAAGGATAGCCTACAATCACATATAATCGACAAAGTCAGGATTTGCAGTTCTCAAACCAAGTCTTAACATAAATAACAAAATATTCTTAAAGGCCAAATATTACAACATACACTATTCACAATAATGACATTCTGTACCGAAATGAAAACAAAACTAAACAACAATTTCTCCCCTAGTTAAAAATAATCATCCACGCTATAAAAAAGAGTTTTGAAGCTGATAATTATAAAACATAGTCTAAATTTGTTAATTGAACAAATATTTATATTATTTTTTACTGAACTATACACTTTAATTGATAAAATTATGTGGCAATTACTAGTTTTACTAAGGCGATGGGATTCTAACAGAGCGGTATTTTTAAAACAAGTGTTGTGACTGTGATTATTAAATTGAAGATATTCAGGGTTTTTAAATATCTAAATAATAATACACTGTTTGACAATGTCACCTGTTCCTCTAGCTGCGCTAGAAACTTGGAATGTATTCTTGTGTATGTGACAATAAAGTAATATTATTATTATTATTATTATTATTAATCAGATCATAAATGAACAAATTTACTACAGTTTGAATATTCAGATCTATAAAAAGAGGTTTGTAATGATCAGGGTGCGTTCCAGTCAAAGCTCTTAAAGCCTTTTTTTGGAGAATCAATATTTCTTTTATTCCATCACTACCATTGTTATGTATACAGTAGGCTATTTATCGTAAGGTATAATACAACATACAACAGAACCCAATGGAGTTCTGTGAATACAAGAGCCTGGAATTTCACACAGACTTATTAAAAAAAAAACAAGATAATGCAAAAGAATGGCAAACATTTTAACACAGACAGTTTACAAACCAACCTTAAACACCCAAGAGCCAGTTTGAGATCGATACTCCTTGAATCGAGCGCCCATCTTGGCACAGGCGTGGCGCAGTGTGGCCTCGTAGTCGAGTTCCTCGAGCGCAGCAGGGTCGCTGATAGGCTCACGCTTCACCTTGTCCAAAGGCCAGACACGGTCCAGTGTCACCTGCGCCGCTCGGTTCAATCCTTCACCCAGCGGAGGTTTCTTACTCTCATCAGGATACACGGTTACCTCTTTGTGACGGAAGTGTACTGTAAACAATCCATGAACATTTCCGGTTACTATACTGCACAATGGTTTAACTGGTGCTAATTACATATACTTACTTACTTACTCTCAGGGCCATGCATATCTAAGAAGATATTTGGCCGCACCAACAAAGCCTCTCCATCTTGCTCTATCCTCTGCATCCTCCTCAGTTGCTCCTAGTTGCTCCATGTCTTTCTTTACTTGGCTCCACCATTTTTGTTTTGGCCTTCCTCTCGGTCGTCTTCCTTCGGGATTTCTTAGTTAAAACTAATTTTAACTTATTTTTGCTCCTCTCTTCGTAAAACATGTCCAGCCTCTTCTACACTTAAATTCACACACCACATCTGGATCTCTGTAGAGTTCTCTCAGTTCTCTGTTGTGTCTCTTTCTCCATTCACCACCTTCATAAATTTGGTTAATTACATATAGAAACACTAATACATTCTATTTGTCCATCTTGGTGGATTAATAACAATTTTATTTCTGTGGTAAAATTGCACCATTACAACCACTGTTGTACATCCTTATTACAAAGTAAAATATCACAGTTGTTTTTAATATATAACAGACATTGAAAGATATAAATACAGGTTAAGGGCACCACAGACAATTTCTTAAATATAGGCTTATAATGACTACGTGGTGGAGCATAACTTAACTCAACTCTCTTACCTATGTCATCGAGGTTGAGCCCTGAAACGTCAAATGAGTCTGGGAAGAATATGTTGCCGTAGTTGTAGCGACCTACAGTGAAGTTATCTACGACACAGTGACCTTCTTCATCCAGCAGGTTGGCCAACTGTTCCATGGATGGAATTGTGTAGTAGCCAACACGACGCAGTGTGATACCCGTAGGACTTGGTGCGTCAGAAACTAGCTCACAGGTGTCGGAGTCTGAGGGCAAATTTGTTATATTTTGGTGAAGTACTTTACAAAATTATGAACTTTAGTGGACTTGTGTTGCTTCTGTAATCATACCTACACACAAAACCAATTACAAAGTTACCCATATATTTTATGCCGAGACTGGCCATTGCTGATTTATGAGAAATGGCATATTGCAGCAAAAACTATGCTCTTTTTACTATGCTAGAAAGCGAGTATTTTTTTAGCCAGGTAATTTTATTCATAGATTGAGTATTCTTGGTAAAAGGCCTTGGCTGGAATAGGTTTGTTTAGCTTACCTCCTATGAACGAAATATTTATTATTCGTAGATCGGTTGAATTTGTTTATTTCATGATTATTGCTACAGAGGATATAATATTTTAAAAGTCCAAATAATTATCTGACACAGCCATACATATCATCCCAGTGGCTGTCTGCGCTGATAGGTTACTGGTTTAAAAATTAAGTTTTAAGATCGGATAAAGATGCAGTGATAAGACAGTTTGAATAGAAACTGGTGACTACCAAACATCTTTGAGCAATTTAGTTTTCTATCAATAATTTCCAAATGGGAAAATTGTCAAACCTGAGCTGGTAGAGGAGGATGACTGCTCTTGGTTTTCTTTGTTGTCCAGTGTCGTGTTGGTAGCACTAGTGGTGGTTGTAGGGGAAGCCACCAGTTTACCGCCAAGTTCCAACATTGTGTTTTCTGGTTCAGGACTTTGGGCTACTGTTGTCATCAACACTCTGCAAAAACAATAGTATCACTTAAGAGAACAATTTTTTTTGCAATACTACACTTACAAATATTTAGAAAAATAATTAGGATAAATTATATTGATTAATATATTAAAAAGAAAAACATGTAAAGCTGATAAGTCAATGGATTTTTTTTTACATGACAAATCAGAACTATTTACGCTGCTTAAGGCCTCGTAGTGGTTACAGGTACCAGGTTACTAATCTCCAAACTGTAATAACTATCAACATCCATCTAAATTTACGTACTATCATTCATGTAATGTTATTTGTTGTTATGTAGGCCTACACTTAAGCTATTCAATGTATTTAACACCTTTTTTAATAATCCAACCAATTTTAATGTTAATAGAATAATAATTATACATAATAAATATTTCTTACGTGTTTGATCCTTCATCTTTAGAGGAAGCCTTGGCAGCTGTTGGGGACGATGGTTCGTTCTGAGATGAACTTCTGAATTACAGGAAAAACATATTTTTAACATAAATTTCACAAGAAAACAATTTGTTGGCAATAAAAATCATAGTTGATGGGGTAGGGATATCCAAATTATTTAAGTAGTTTGTCTTAATCTTCATAAATAATCAGCAAAAAATTTTTACTGATTGTTTGGACAGTAGATATAGGAAAAACATAGTAGTTCTCTATAACATGATTTTACAAATCCGTATGATGCTCAAAACCAAGAGTAGTTTTTTGGAGGACTAAGCATTTTGTTTGGGGATACATTAAGAAGGAATGGATACAAAACTGGTTTGCCAAGAAAAGTGTTTCAGGTTGTTAAAAGCTCAAAAGTTTACAATCTGGAATCTAATTAATTTGATATTAAGACCCACAAGAGGTATTTTTTTTTTAGGAATTAGTGTGCTTTTCTCAAGTTAGTCAGTTGTGTATCCATTCTTTCTTCATCAATCATAGTTATAATATAGTATCTTTAGAAGTTTGGTGCAGATGTTGAAGTTGTTGCAAAATCACCCTTCATAGAAAAGAATAATAGTTAGTAGAGTCGTTAATAAGTTACCCACAATTTAGTAGTGTCCGCAGCAGGGGAAGAAGTCACACTGTCCAAGGGTGTGAAGAAGCGGGGACTGGTCTTGTCTGCAGTGAGGTTCTCTAAAGGCAGGAAGGGACTGGCGGGGCCGGTTGGTTCCATGGGAGACTTGGGTGACCGAGGGCCCCGCCCGGATATCACCAGCCTCTTGATGGTTGGCTTCATCTGCATCTTCTGGAAATAGTTGGGGTCGTCTTCCAGCCCCTCGAAGAGAGATACCTACACAGAATTGGCATGTTTTAAACGGAAATTTAATGATTGATAAAGTTTTGTCTATTATTTAAAACAAATGAAATTCTTTGTCTGAAGTTCATTTATCATAATGGTAAGACTAAATGGGAGCGTTTTCCACTTGGATTGGTAAAAAAACAAAGGTTTTCACGACGTTTCAGAATTTAGAATCTCATTCAGTCCTCAGATGAGAAATTTCCTAAAGCATGGTAAGATTAATACAAACTACTATTTAAGTTAAACACTCACTTTGGTCAGCGTAGATGTCCCAATTGGTTTCATTTTGATCTTAGCAGTGTTTGTTGTAGATACTTTGAAGTTGTTTCCATTGAGAAGATTCTTTTGTGTTGCACCAGGAGCAGGTTTCAGCAACTCTTCTGTTTTACCGGTCGTCTGACAAACAATTTATTTAGAAACGTTGACATTTTTATACTTCTTTCATTTTTATAGACAATACAACTCAATTAAGCAATTGGATTCAGTTTTTCATACCTTACCAACCCTAAACTGTCATCAACATAATTCATCAAAGGAATGTTGGAGTAATACTCATTTCCACATTATATTATTTTCTACTAGCAGAGTACCCGTCTTTCGGGGTTGGCGTATAAGTATAAAATGCTTATTGCAGTGATACTCATGCTTAGCGTTTGCAATGGGAGAGGACACATTTTAAGTAAATTTGGTTTACTATAATTTACTGTATACTATAGTATAGCACATCTACCATAGCATATATGCTATACCGTACCACTGCACTTAAACAACAGAAAACAAACGGTATCAGCAATCTGACACATACTTTCTCCCATTACCTTGTCAACAACCTTTATCATGGGTAAGTGATGAGAGTAACTATGGTATTTAATAGGTAAAATCACACAAGTTTCATTAACTTTTGAACAGTAATTTTAACAGGAATGAAGGGGTGCACTATTTTGTTTGGAATTATAAGAACCATAACAGAAGAATTTCAATCAAAATCGTTTTTTTTTTTTTCAAAAATTCATTTTTTTGTTTTTTAGATTGGTGTTTTGTGGGAAAATAACATAAGTTACAATAACTTTTGAACCATAATTTTTACAGCAATGGAAGGTTGCACTATTTGTTTGGAATTGTAAGGATTATCACATACTAATTTCAATCTAAACCGGTTAAAAAAAAAAATAGTACAATTTTCTCTTATTTTATGGGGATATTTAATGGAAAAATAACATAATTTACAATAACTTTTGAACCGTAATTTTTACAGAAATAAGAGTTGTACCATTTTGTTCAGAATTCAAAGGGCTACAACCTCATAAATTTGTATCAAAATCGTTCAGGCCATTTTTGAGAAAATTTAATTTTTCCGCTATTTTATTTTATCCACTCAAAACTCAAACTCGAAAATGTTGACGAAAACAATACTTTCTCCATATACTATGTATAGGGGGAGAAAGTAAAAGTAAGGTTCTCACAGCTTTTTGTTGCTGCTTGGTTCAAATTAGATGTTTTCGTAAATGCAAAATGAATTAATAGTGGTTTTAATGAGTTGGTAGAGAAATATCTTTTTATTTAATCATAAATCACCATTACTCTAATAATAAACCGAATTCTCCAGTTTCAATACGAATTTTGTCTAATTTTAACCTACAGTTTTTACCGCCGTGTTATCCGAGATAGTCTTGATCCCGTTTAGCTCAGATAATCGGACTTCTACTGTACTGTGCAGCTAAAAAAAATCACTATTGCCAATCCGGACTGGCGGGAGTCCTGACAAGGCCGATCCAGATGAGCAAGAGCGTACTGTAATTAAGTTGTTTAATACATTGTTTAACCAAAACAATCTAATCATAACCAATAACTGGTCCCCTAGTTATTTAACCAAACAGTAAAGCACAAATCATGAAATCACCCCAATAAGGAACCAAATTTCATCAATTCCTTGCAATCAGTTTCACCAACATGAACTAGAAACGAGAAATGAGCTTTAAAATTTACAATTACACAATAAGTAATAAGAATAAGGAACTAGTACTTGTGTTGGTTAGTCTATGATACAACGTTTATATTTATACTTACAGGAAGAAGGTTTTTAAACAAAGGATTGTCACCAAACGGCATCGAGGCTAATGCTAGGATATGCTGATTGAGGGGATTAGCAGCTTGCTGGCTAGCATTGGACGATGTAAATGTACTCCTTCAACAAAACATTAGCAAATAATTTAACTGACAAAGATGATGAGCAAAGTATCTTTGATACCACATTAAAACTTAGATTGAAATAAACAAATCAACATTAGTTTTTCCGCTGAAATAAAAAATTGATAAGCAGGATATCTTTTTCTCATATCACTCATGTATTTAAAAATCTTACATTAATAAATATGAGTAATAAATATGATGGAAAGGTAAATGAATATTATTGGTTTTTGGATTAGATTAGACATCATATCAGCATTTATTGGCTGCAGTAAATTTCTTATTTCAATAAAACTAGTTGAATTAGTTGCTTACAAGTACGGTATATTACAGTAGAACCTCAATGACAAGTCTCTTGTGGAGATTATTAAATGAGGCTTTTATCAAGTGACTTCTTATCAAGGTTTGCAATAACACGTGACTAAAGGTAATATAAAATCAAGGGTATTTGAAAATGACACTTGTTATGTGACTTAGGTGTGTTAAGCGACTTGATACCGAGGAGCTTGTTATCGAGATTCCACTGTACTAATAAACACTATTTTTGCTCATGTAGTATTTTTTTACTTAGGTAACTATTGTTACACGGTTGTTTATTTGAGGTCTGGTTTGCGGCATTGTTTTTAGTTCAATAAGACCTTTAATTTGATGAGCATATCAACATAAGCTTACCTTTAAGATTTTTTATTTACTCCCTGTGGGCCGTCCCCCATAGGTCACATCCAATCACTACGTACACAGAAAAGTAGCTTACTATTGCCAGTAATGACATGCTAAATTTGGTTGTGATATCTCTTTTCGTTTTAAAGTTATTAAGTCGTCCTAAGGCTTAATTGTCACCCTGTATAAACTCTTTTGTACTGTATTTAGGAAATTCTATCTAAATTAAGAAATCTATTAAGATACAGAACAGTAAAAGTTCTACAGAAAAATGTGTCTTCAGTGTGTATTTTTAGAATGTTCTAAAGCGCTTGAAATGAAACCCAATCTCATTTTCCAAATCTACTTAGAATAAAAAATAAACCAGAATATCTGTATAGTGTATAGTTATATTCCTTTCTTTAGACTCAATGTTCTCATGTGGGTCCGCGGAATTGGCTAACTCTGGAACTCGCTAACCCCATGTAAACGCCCTATCTTCAAATTTGGTCGATGAGAGGAACTCACTTACTTGTTCGGTTTCGGAATTGGCTAACTCCGGAACCCGCTAACCCGATCTAGAGCCGGGTTAGCGAATTCCGTCCTCGTACGGAAGTCGCTAACTCGGTCCCTCGGCGGAACTCGCTAACTCCCAATCAGAAGCCTCGCGGGCCGTCCAATGGGAGCCAAGCACGAAGATTTTTAGCCAGTGTTGCCGAAAGTGTAGTACCTATATCGGTACCATAATGTCGTATCCTACGAATAATTAGGATTAAGAGCGACGTAGTCGACAAAATAAACATATATTCAGAAGTATGTTTAATATGATTCTTATGATTATTAGGGTAGAAAATGCATTATAGTCTTACCATAGACTAACCAACACAAGTAAACTTTACATCTCATTTTAACTTTGAGCATGCTTTGAGGCTCGTTGTTCGTGTCTAGTTCATGTCCGGTGACACCGATCGCTAGTGTTGACGAAATTGTGTTTCTATTATTTTATAGTTAACTTTATGATTTGTTCTTTACTGTTTGGTTATATAACTAGGGGACGTGTTATTAGTTGTGATTAGAACGTTTTACTTGGTTAAACGAGGTTTTAAATGACTGAAACAATAAACAATTGTAAACAAAACACGACCACTAAAGACAGTGCACCGGACAGATCTAACAATAAAACTGACTTCAGCTGATCCATAAGGATGAAAAATGTACTTTTAATATAAGGGGGTTTCATATTGGGTTTTTTTACTTAAATAGTTGCATGGGATGCAAAAAGATAATATTGTACATTTAATTTGGATCTTTTTCATGTAATGAAATAGCTATTTTCGTAGCCCGCCATTTCTTTCTTTTATTCAAATAAATACCATTATGTGAACTTCTGCAAATAAAATTATTAAGTTCGTATTTTATATACTGGGCTTGTTACATTGAATCATAAATCATGATAAAATTTACACGTTAAACGTTATTACAGAAATACAATGGAGTGGTTATGTTTTTTTTCAAAAATAGAGCTATTGAATTTTAATAAATATTGATCAATACATTATAAAGTGGTAGGCCTAATGTATTCATGGATTACATTACAAATTTGTCTATGCATAAATACAACTTGTAAATTTCTGAAATCGTAGGGTATTAGTTAGAACTCGGGTCATCCTCTTAATTTTGTTTAATTAATATTAATTTTACGTCTTTCAGTAGGCCTACTTTTTAAAAGTCTGGAGTTTTTATGGTTCTAAATGGACCCAGTCGTTCTTGTTTGTTATCATTTTTATGAATGGTGGCCATAGCTAAAATTACTTGATCTTATCCAAAAACAAAGCTATTGTCTATTGAGTAGCTCAGTACCGGGGAACGGGGAATTGAGCAATGGCTTGGTATAGTTTATTTCGATTGTGAAAGTAATATAAAGAAAATCCAACACTCAATTCGGGAAAATCCGTCAAGTCGTTGATTAAGAATCGTGAATTAAAATAAGCCTGTCACGTTTTAGTATATGAATATTATATCTTCTACTCCTATTATTTACTAGTGATGCTAAGGTGTACAATCTAAAAACTGTTTTAAAACATGCAACATTATTGCTAAAAAAGTCAACACATTTTAGAATTAGGCAACTATTTACTAGCAGGCGTACAATGCTTTGGTTTAAACTATTAGGAATAGATTTAGGCCTCTACAGCTATTCTATAAATTGATATGAAACTTAGTCTATGTCATATTTGTACACGTTGGACGATTCAACGACGAACATTTAATTTTAAATCTATGAATTAGTTATGAAAGTTACGATGGTTGATGACTGTATTAATTAATAGTTTTGGTTTATTACGACATTACGATTAAATTTGCTTTCCGTGTTTGATAACTTGCGTGTATTTTAGCTTAATTTCGTAGAGGTTTAATTATTTAGTACCTATTAACGGAATTTTTAATATTTTTCATATTCTATTATTTTCTTTTATACTGATGGCATCTATATTTAAGATCGAAATCATAAACATTTAATTGGCCATTGTAATGTTAAATTTAAAAAATCACTTTTTGATGATTTTTTTAATGTTTTTTAATTACTTTGGGCTAGTTATCTGTTAAAAGTAGAATTGATAACAAATAACAATAACATTTACTGTATCTTCATTGACACTGACATTTTGAAATACGGCAGTGTACGATTATTTCGTCATACAAGGTTGGCAACGCTCCGATCAGTGGGCGCGGCCGGGTTAGCGACTTCCAGAATTAGCGAATTCCGCCGCGAGACAAAATCGAGTTAGCGGGTTCCGGAGTTAGCCAATTCCTGACTTAGACGGTTAGCCAGTTCCAGAGTTAGCCAGTTCCGACACACGACCGAGTTAGCGAGTTCCTGAGTTAACCAATTCCAACGTCTCTCTCATGTTCAACGCAAAACTACTCACCCTCCAAGAAGTGATCCCATAGGCATGCTCATACCCAGGCCTGTGTTGGTGTTGTTGCCGAACGAAGTGTTGGTATTACTGCCAAAACCAGAACTGCCGAACAGTCCTGTGCCTGTGTTCGTACTGCCAAACAAACTCGGCTTGTTGGCGTTGTTACCAAACAGCGAGCTACCGCCTCCTAGATTCAGGCCTGCAAGGTTAATATCCACTGCTACATGTGTACCCGCCACCAAATTAAAAGAAAAGAAATGAAGGTTGTACAATTTCTAATCTTTAAATTAATTACAATAGGAAACCAAAAAATACCTGGACAACGTGAAAACTACATTACCTATTCAACATTATGAACACTTAAATGACATCAAACAATTACCATTGAAACAAGGGTTGGTTTTTTTATTGAGCGAAGCTTTTTGGGATCGGCTTCAATGCAAACTTTCTAACACTATCATTCAATAACAGCTGAATATATTTAAGCCAAACTTACCAAGAGGTTGTTTCGACAAATGTTTGGAAGGTTTAAGACGAAAAAATTTTAATTTTTGATAATGTCTTTATAATTTAAAAGTAGTTACAGTATTCAACAGATGTTATTTATGTAATCTAAATTAGGTTATATAACAAATAAAATATTTATCTTATGTGATTGGGAATTAAAACACTACATAAATCAGCAGTTTTAAATAACTAGGTATTGTCAAATCAATATTTTTATCTATATAGGCTGTTATGAAGATGCCGTCTTATTATTTACTTTAAACAGTGCCAAACTCTCTTATAACTGGCAGAGAGTTACTTATTTATAGTGATCAAACCTGATCAAGATTTAACTGTGAAGCTCACATATTTTTTTTATATAGGACCCAATGTACTAATTTTTTTTTTTTCAAAACAATAATAAGAAAAACATCAATAAAATGAATGGTCCTTTAGACTCAAAAAGCACTAAAAGCACCTATGTAACATCTTATAACATCATCAGCCTTACCTAGCGTACTGTTGGAGGTGGGAGTCGGGTTGAAACTGAAGTTTGACGCAGGCGGTTTAAACGTGTTGTTGCCGAACAGCGAAGTGTTCTGATTGGTGGCCCCAAACCCTGTGGTTGTTGTGCCAAAGCCCGTGTTGGTCGTTGCTGTTGAGCCGAAAGGTGATCCAAATGTGTTAGTGGGTTTGGCCCCAAACAAAGACGTTCCCGCCGTGGTGGTTGAGGATTGGCCAAAGGAAAACGGAGTTGTAGCAGTTCCAAATGCAGGCTTGGCTGGTTGCTGACCAAACAGACTCGTGCTCTGGAAAAAATTATGTCAGGTATAAACTAAATGACAAAGCTAAAAAATTACTACATTTGATTAATATTGGTTGTCTAAAATATTCTTCTTAGATATTCAGCAGTTACTGGAATGTCCTACATAAAAATACGGTGTAGAACAATATTAAATATAAATAGTACAGTACAATGGACCTATGGACCTCTCAAGTAACTAGAGCCTCTATGTAGGCCTAAATAAAATCGCTTTCTTGCCAAAAATAAAACTGTAATTACCAAAACTAGCTGTTACCCTCGGGCTTCACCGCGTTTGACTTCAAAGTATTAATAAAACTATTGATAGGTTAAGTTAAGCTGAAATAAACAAAACAGAATATAGTAATAGAAACAAATGATCACACTTTGAAAGAATAACAAACAAATAAGTACAGCTGAGGTATTTTTAACATTAGGTATATGGAAAGTTCCCTTTAGAAAGGAATTACCTTAAAGGGCAATTTTCCCTTTAGAAAGGAATTACCTTAAAGGGCAATTTATGAAATAATGGATAGTTTTGCGCAAGGTTTCTCGTCATTACGAACATTTTAAGTATATGGTTTATAGGGGTGTGACTAGGGATGGACGGGATTGAATTTTTAGTTCGGGACGGGACGGGACGAGATTTTTATTTCCTTCCCAATTTTCGGGACGGGACGGGACGGGATTTTTTTCTGTGCATAAAAAGAAAGTCTTGAGTGTTGCAGTTACCCAAAAAGGCATACAAAATCAATCTTTACCGTTTGTGGCACTGATCTATAAAAACTAAAAAATGGGTAACAATTTACAGGTACCTGTAAAAACTTGTTACTCGCGGTCAAAATGACTCACGGTCACGGTGCTATCGTCAAAATGACGGCGGTCACGAGGTGATCGTCGGTATGACTCCGTGGCCACGGCGTGATCGTCGGTATGACTCCACGGTCACGGCGTGATCGTCGGTATGACTCCGCGGTCACGGGGTTATCGTCGGTATGACCCCGCGGTCACGGCGCGATCGTCGGTATGACTCCGTGGTCACGGCGTGATCGTCGGTATGACTCCGTGGTCACGGCGTGATCGTCGGTATGACTCCGTGGCCACGGCGTGATCGTCGGTATGACCTCGCGGTCACGGCGCGATCGTCGGTATGACTCCGTGATCATGGCGTGATCGTCGATATGACTCCGTGGTCACGGCGCGGTCGTCGGTATGACTCGCGGTCACGGCGCGATCGTCGGTATGACTCCGTGGTTGCGGGGTGATTGTCGGTATGGCTCGCGGTCACGGCGCGATCGTTGGTCCAATAATTGCGGTCACAGCGCGATCGTCGTTATGACTCCGCGGTCACGGCGCGATCGTCGTTATGACTCCGCGGTCACGGCGCAATCGTCGTTATGACTCCGCGGTCACGGCGCAATCGTTGTTATGACTGCGCGGTCACGGCGCGATCGTCGTTATGACTCCGCGGTCACGGCGCAATCGTCGTTATGACTCCGCGGTCACGGCGCGATCGTCGTTATGACTCCGCGGTCACGGCGCGATCGTCGTTATGACTCCGCGGTCACGGCGCAATCGTCGTTATGACTCCGCGGTCACGACGCGATCGTCGGTCCAATAATTGGGGTCACGGTGCGATCGTCGTTATGACTCCGCGGTCACGGCGCAATCGTCGTTATGACTCCGCGGTCACGGCGCGATCGTCGTTATGACTCCGCGGTCACGGCGCAATCGTCGTTATGACTCCGCGGTCACGACGCGATCGTCGGTCCAATAATTGGGGTCACGGTGCGATCGTCGTTATGACTCCGCGGTCACGGCGCAATCGTCGTTATGACTCCGCGGTCACGGCGCGATCGTCGTTATGACTCCGCGGTCACGGTGCGATCGTCGTTATGACTCCGCGGTCACGGCGCAATCGTCGTTATGACTCCGCGGTCACGGCGCAATCGTCGTTATGACTCCGCGGTCACGACGCGATCGTCGGTCCAATAATTGGGGTCACGGTGCGATCGTCGTTATGACTCCGCGTTCACGGCGCAATCGTCGAAACGACTTCGTCTCCTGCGTTCGCGGACCTATCGCTCGCAATAGCGGCGTCATCGGCACTCGCGAAGCGGCAAAATCGCCGGCGATCGGACCAAATCCCGTCCCGAAAAATTCCCGAGTCAAATGTCATCCTGTCCCGATAATCGGGAATATTTTTTTCCCGAAAAATTCTCGAAATTTCGGGACCCGTCCATCCCTAGGTGTGACTTTTAGTTAATTCTCAAAAGTTCATGGATACTTTGGGATTTAAATATGGATATGATTGATGTACGATGATTAATCATTTATAACCCCCTCAATAGATATTTTGCCAAAAGACTGTTTTCTGATTAAAATAAATAAACAGTCTTACGGTATGTTTTTCAATTATTTTGTTAAAAACAGATAATAGTTTAGTGTGTTGTTTTTTGATGAAAGAAATAAAGAATATGGTTTTTGTTAACATTTATTTAATTTGTCATTTCTGAAGTTTAATCTTAAGTAATCGTCCGTGATATCAAATTAATTGAATCACGTAAATTGACGATTTCAATTGGCACTTTCTTATGCTTATTAGATAAAATCATACCGTACTTGAATAAAGCACATGGAATCTGTCCAATCACAGTAGATTTTAAGTCCCCAGAATGCTATGGGGTAGCCTAGTTAAAACTTATTTTTCTGCAATTTCTGGTTGTACCATTTACATAGGCTAATACGGTTTATAAATTATAAGCCTAAGGTGTTTGTCAAACCTGAGTTGCTGGTTGTCCAAAAGTGCTGCCAAATCCAGGGGTTTGTGAGCCAAATCCTGTGTTAGGCTGGGAAGTAGCCGTACCAAACAGCGGTTGTGAGGCTGGCAAAAACAAAACTCATTAGTTAGTTCAATAAAGTAATTAGGCCTACTCTAACACATGTATAACAATTAGTGATGGGCCGATTCCGATTCTCGATTCCAAAATACTCTCGATTCCGCCGGAATCGAATCGAGCATTCGATTCGAATCTCCGTGGGTTTGGGATCGATTCCAACTCTCTTCGATTCTTTGATAAAATTGGTTAAAATCAGCCATAAACGTCATATAAAGCAACAAAGAAACAAATATTCAGATTGCTAATGATTTGCTTGCAACTCTGAGCAAACAACAAGTCCTGGTCGTATCGTCACTAACTCAGCGAGACTAGAGCGAGCGTATTGCAAAAATAATAGATGCGAACTCAATACAGAGGCTTGGTACAATGAGAAACAGTTAACAGATGGGAATTTGAGATTCGGGCAAACTGGACTGGAGCGAGTAAGCATTGCGTCACAGCTCACAAGACATACAAGGAAAGGGATGAGCATCGATTTAGATCAACCAGTGGTACCAAGGCTACTAACCACGAATACTAGAAAAATACCGGTATGGATCATAAACATAAACAATGACATTTTTGGCCCGAAAATACAAATTATTTCACATTGTTTAAATGGAACTGCCAAAACATATGTTCAATGCTATTAGTAGAGGATTCGGGCCAACAACGTCATTTGTTTATGTTTATGATCCATACCGGTATTTTTCTAGTATTGGTGCTACTAACTGAATCATTGCATCGCTACAACGATGTTATCAGTAACCGATAACATCGTTGTGAAAACATCGATGTTTTTGGGACTAAGACATAGAGTTTTTTCTTCAATTTTTCGTCTGGTCTCTGTACTCTCCAGTAACGGAAAGCATCGATATCTCAATACACTTGGTCAAAAACATCGATGTGAAAAACAACGAAAATCGATAGAAAAACATCGGTGATGCGAAAACATCTACTATCGATGCTCATCCCTAAACAGAGCTGAGCTACCATTCATTACCAAAGTATAACAAAACACTTCGTATTCGGTCCCGAAACGTCACTACTCAACGAGACTAGAGCGAGCGTCCTATAGCCTAAAAGCGACTTGGGCTTGGGCTTGGAAATATACTGTAATTTTGTACAGTGAATTGGAAGGTTTTAACAACCTATAAATGTTCAAGTGCGCGATATTGTAAATAAACTCGTTTAGTGTTGCAATCAACGGGTAAATCTTCGAACACTGGGTATTTTAATGGCCGATAGGCAGAGTAGTTTTGCAGGTTCCGTTATTGTCTGCCAACAGTGGCAACACTGATAAAGTGAAAAATACTTAAATGCTCCATGCTCCAGTACCGACGGCATCAACAAATCGTATTGTTATGAAATAGTAACTTGTCAATTTGTAAGATCAACTTTAACCCCAAAAGTAAAACGTAGGCTATTGAGCTTGCCTTGTTTTTAGTTATCGTGATTGTTAGTTTGTATTATTGTTAGGTTTAACTTATTTGGACAAACAAAAATCATGTCTAGAAGGAAGAAAAGTGACGTGTGGGACTTTTTTACAAAGGAAAATGACGAAAGCCTTTTTGCTACCTGCAATATATGCAAAAAACGATTATAAAGAGGTGGTAAGTCACATACCACATCCAACTTGTTTAAACATATTAGGACTTTTCATGCTCTCGAATTTATTAAACTTAAACAGCAAAAACAGGAAAATGACCAGCTGTTAGGTTATGATGATGAAGATGTAGGCCTAGATCAACCTGGTAGGCCTAGTAGTCTTGGAGCATCTAGGCCTACTTTGCTCAACTGCTAACACTGTTTTTTTCCTTTTTGACTTTTTCTACTTACTTTTGTTGTGAATCGTGTGACTTGATTTTTTATAATGATAATGAATTATTTTTTATAGTACATGTAAAAGTTATTTTATAATATTCTATAGCTAGTATTTTACAATAACCTTGTAAATGTGTATTGAATGTGTGACATTCTAAATTCAGGGTGTCCACAAAAAATTTGTCATTAATTTCCATGACTTTCCATGACTATCCATGACCATTTACCATTGATTTCCATGACTCACGAACTTTACACGCAAATTATAATATAACATACACACACAAATAATACTGTCTGGACATGTTATTTTGCAGAAAATACTGAAATATGTAATAACAGATAACAATGGAGAACAATAGGTACAACAATGAACTAAAAGAAACCGAAAACTCATAAAATAATACAATTGTAATAAATTGAATTGTCGAACATTTGTGAAAAATCCTGAAAAATGCTATAACAGTCCGGGTTACGGCTGACTAGAGCATTGAATGGTCCCCTCAAATCCATCCATAATTGGAAATTTCCATGACTTTCCATGACTTCTTGCCTATTTCCCTGACTTTCAATGACCAACATTTTTTTCCATGACTTTCCATGACTATCCCTGACTTTCCAGAATGTGGACACCCTGTAAATTCTACATATAGATAACATGCTTGGTAAGCTTGTACTGATTTCACAATTTTAAACACATTCATAAAACATAATTGAATTTGGAATCGGAATCGAGTCCGGAATCGAGATTCGAATCTCAAATTTAAGAATCGGAATCGGAATCGGAATCGAGAAATCTTGGAATCGGCCCATCACTAATAACAATTATGATTTTAACACGCTTGACATTTATTTCTATTGTGAAGAGTAAAATCATGATAAATTTACTCCATAAAAGTCTCATCCAAGTGGTGAAGTGGCTTTGGTAGAATTCGTAGCAGTATATAACCTAATCTAATTAACTAATCCCTGGACTTAATTCCTAGACAGGAATAGCAATCCTTAAAGTTGGACAAATGATGAGTAAGCTACACTTGAGAAACAGAAACAAATAATCGGAAACAATTACAATGATAGATTTTAGCTCAGATGATTCTCGTAAATAAGTTGGAGACAGTACAAAAGGTTTTACCGATTTAGACCACATAAACCAACAGATTATAAGTATTACGTTTGCAAATGACATCAGAAAGGCATGTATTTTATGTTTGAAAGACTTAAGGTAAATTACACTATGTTTTATTTTAAATAAATCAACTCACTTCCAAAAGGTTTAACCTGAGCCATGTTGGAGCCAAAAGGGTTGGAGTTGGGGGTGGAGTTGAAAGCAAAGGAGCTTGTGGTCGTAGTTGGAGTTCCAAATGCAGGAGTTGCAGTTGTTGGTTTGCCAAACAGAGAGTTCCCTGTGTTGCCAAACACATTGCTGGTCTGACCAAAACCTGCAGTCAATCACAACCATACATCATCATTTTAAAGTCAACTTCAGACTAATGAATATTTTTCTACAAAGTCCATACATAATGTTAACATAAAAAATATACATGTATGAAAATACAAAAGGCGGAAGTGTGCTAGTGGCAGTGGCTGGCAGCTTACTGCAACCAGAAACGTTCCGACGCCAAAATGGAAGCGCTAGCTCTGCCAAGCTATAACATCTACTATCGGACATCTACATGTTTCATTTAATAACATGATACTGTAATCGTACTGTATGTGAATTAGAACCAAATATTATTAAAAGCTACAACGTTTTGATTTTATTTTTATGAATAAGGTAGAAAAAATATTACCTATGGATGTGTTGGTATTTCCGAATAAGGGTTTGTTTTCAGTAGCACCGAAGAGTCCGGTGCCAGTTCCAGTAGTATTGCTGGCACCTGCACCAAACAAGGATGGCTGCGGAGTTGACCCAAACAACCCGCCACTTGGCTGAACACCCTGGAAACATGTATAATCTGTAATATCTTGTACAAAATACACATTTAGAAAATGTACTGTATATAAAACACTTCGACTTAAACATGCACTGAATTTTTTTGTACCTACAGCACCTGAGCAAGAATACGGACATGTGTGATATTGGATCACATGTTTAATAGTCTTTATTTTATTGTCTTGTTGAAAGCATATATGGTTTATGTTTTTATTTTGTGTGATGATTTGAGTTAGTGTAGATATAGCATTAAGATTAAAATGTAATTTCTTTAACTAGTTTGTTTTATTTTGTGATTATACTACACTGGCGACGAAGATGTCTAGAAGGAAGCAGAAGAGTGATAGGGAATTTGATTAAGAGTCTCACAGCGAGTTGGAAAGAAAAATGGAGAAGTTTGTCTTTGAGAAATACAAATGTGAAGAAACAGCAGAAGAGTATATTGAACATTTTCAATGTGTCTGTCGGGTGAAAGGATTGGGGGGTTCAGATGAGCGTAATACGGAAGCAAGAAAATGGTGTTTAAAAAGTAGTCAAGCTGTTTAAACAATTGGTAAGCTTAGTTAAAATAGTACAATAAACGAATGTGTGTTTAATTTTACAATGCCCAAAACGGGCCAAAACCAGATAAATACTTCAAACAAGACATTTTGGTTTACCTGCTGCGGTCCCTTCCTATTGGCCGCGTAGTCCTCCAATCTCAGTTCTTCCAGGGACTTGCCCTCGTACTCCTTCATACAGGTGATGCAGTGATGCCGGGTGCTGATTGTCTGAGAGACGCCGTTCTTCACCATGCTGTCGGTTCCAGTGACTGCCACAAACTTGACAGCACCAGTGCCTTGATTGGCGGTAGCTCCCAGAGTGCTGCCGAACCCTCCTGAACAACAGAGTGATCAGGCCCGATTATAGCCAAGTGTTTCTTCAGATTTTATTTACAAGAAAGGTAATAAGTTCCCGACATATACACAAGCATTCAGTCCATGTATTGAAGAATCTAGTTTACACGATATAAATGCAAATTCAAAGGACCGCTAAGCTTTTTAAAAACAAGAAGACTTTACTCAAAAATGGCTGGAAATTAAGTTTATTCCCAAATAGGCTACTATTAATAAGCTCAGCTCAATTAAAAATTTCAGCACGCAAATGCATGGAATATAATTAAAAACTCTTCAAATATGTCAAAATTTCTATTCAAGAATTACAAAAATATTTAGTACAGTATTCAAGAAATTACCACGGTAGAACTCCAATTATCCTAATCAATTGTGACCGTAGGCTACCAAACTCAGATAATTGGATTGTTAATTAAATTTAGGGTGTTTTGTGTTTATGAAGATTCTGTGATTGAAAAAGTTCATGCTTTGAATGTTGATTTTTCGTGACGGCGGGAGACAATGAAGATATTCAAGATTTTGTCAATTGTGGAAAACGATGCTGATGTTTCCATGACCGTGGGAAATGTTAAGGTTTTTTCTGCGATCACAATTTCCTGCCTTCTTTAATAAAGATGTTTATTAAGTAGGTGCTAACTGTAGTTATTGGTTTTTTTTTTTTTTAATCCCTTTTCTGTAAGCAATTCAGATAATTGGAGATTCATATGGTTGGAGCTCAGATACCTAAGTTAGTTGGAATTCTAATCTACGTTAATATCACTACTTATTTAGAAAAAGACTTGTAACAGACTTTTTGCATGGAAAGAGTGTAACTGATACATAGCATAGATGTACTTATAGTATGGATTTAAAGACTATTTTCTGAAAATCTTAGACAAAATAGCTCTTTACTTTACTAAATCATTAGATTCAACTGATAACAATCAGAAATTGGAAAAAAAAATATTCAAACTAAAAATAATTCGGTGCATAACAGTTTTAAAACACAAATTCCACTCCAACTAAAATATTAGCCTAGTTACATTAGGATATGTCACATTTTATTGTTTAACTAAAATATTGTACATTATGTCACTTAAATAATTGTTTACAACTATAAATATAAGAAATTGAAGTAGCCAACCTGAAGAACCGAAAAGTCCAGTACTAGATGTGCCAGGAGTTTGGCCAAAAATGTTGGTGGACTGTGGTTGGGTCTGGGCCGTGGGTTGTTGACCAAACAAGCTCGAAGTCTGGGTGGTCCCAAACCCTCCAAACGCGGGCTTTGCTTGACCAAACGCTGATGTAGTTGTAGAGCCAAAAAGCCCACTACTGGTTGAGGCATTTTGATTACTACCGAACAGACCGGTGCCTGTGTTGCTTGAAAAGCCTCCTAGAATATAGGAATCAATACCGTAAGTCAGCATTTTAACAACACAGTTAGCTAGAAAGTAGGCTAGCCTACATTTGGACTACTCTACAAAAATGATGTCAGAGAGTAACAAGATCCGGGTTTGGACCGTTTCCTAATATAAAATGTAAAAAACATCAAAGGCAATGTACAAACACAAAAAAATGGTGGAATGAGACAAGGGCAAGAGTAAAAAGGTTGTTCAGTGATCCTTCTCACCATAATTTACATCAATATCCATACTGTAGCCTACTCCTCAAACAAATGTGTCAGTTTAGTACAGTATTTTAACTCATTAACTTAAGGGATCAAAAACATTAAAATAGGTATACCCAAACTATTGGTACACAGCTACTGACACCAAATGTACACTAACCAAAAGAGGGAGTGGTTGTTTGCGGCTGGCCAAACGCAGGTGCGGCTGTGGAGGATCCAAACAGTCCACCCGAGGAGGGTTGTGGCGTGGATCCAAACAAAGAGCCTCCACTGGAGCCGAACACTGGCTGTGTGCTGCCAAAGCTGGTGGCTGGCTTGTTAAATGAACCAAACGTGCTGGACGTACCAGTCCCAAAACCACCACCTAAAAATAAAGTGTGATTAAAAATCCTGTAGCCTATATGACTTACAAGGGTATGTTTATGAAGGTCAAAAATTAACAATTATTATTACTAAGCTAGTATTATTATTGCATATTGCTATTAACTTAATGTTTACGGTACTAACTTAGGCTATTCATTGTTCATTCAGCAACTTAGCCTAGGCCAAAGTTAGGCCTACCAACTTTTTGTAGGTACTTTTCACTAGGCCTTGGCCTACTTAATGTAGGCTAACTTATTGATCAAATGTGAAGTAACTTAGTCTCTACCTATCTTTTTTAACACACTGGTTGATTATAGGATTTATTAACTTTAACCCTCCAAGTCTTCATCGTAATGGTATTAATGTTGGCCCATTTATTGCGAAATCACAGGGTTTTATTAAAATGTATCTTAGAAACTTAAAAACACTCTAAAGTATACCCGGTACTGTTATACATCATTTTGTTTCTAAAATTATGGGCTTCAATGTAATATATAAAACATTTAAAAAAAATTTAAACAATATTGGTGGGGTCAACATTTCTTAAAAATGATAAAATAAATGAAAAAAAATTATGTTTGCGCTTAACAAATTTTTATAATTTTAGGTTGACAAATATTTTAAGGCTAACCACTTTGTTCTAAATTTTATGAGGATTCCAAAAATATAATAATAGCCTATAAGGAAGTAAATTTTCAAATAAATAAGTTAGCCTATGGGTAAAAAACAGATTTTGTACATTTAGCGTTAGCTAAGAATACATAGCCTAACCATAGCTAAGTAGGAATCTGGCAGATAATTTACATCAATATCACTACCTACTTCTTCAGGATCATCAACCAGCCCTTCAAAATCACTTAAATCTTCTTATAAACTTAATGCACTACGTATATCACTACTTTTAATTTTTAACACAAAAAGAATGATAAACGTAATAAAACACATCAGTCATCGATGTGAGGTTAACCAAGTTGTTTACAAATGCGCACGTCATCTGTCTGCTACAATATGATCGGAACTAAAATTAAAAGCGTTTAGAAACAGACATCAGGAGAAAGCTTAGAATCTGCCGAAAATAACGATACCAATCTCGATCCAGTTCAATCTGATTCAGTCAGTCCCAGAGCCTTCGCCGTAAACGATGTTTGTGAGTTGCAACAGCGACGCATAACACCACAGCGGGTGTGTAAAGCGCGTGTGTAAAACTACGCATAACACCACAGCGGGTGTGTTGTGCGTCGCTTTTGCGACGCTTAACATTCGGAGAGTTAAAAACAAGTTCACGATTCTACCAGTTTTAATTAAATGGTTGTGCACTAAAAGATTCTTTTCACAAAAATACTTAGATTGTATCCGATTACCGGTGCCGGAATCAACAAAAAAAATTCCCATCACATTAATAACTTATCATGATGATAACATCAAATATAGTCTAAGTAGGTCTGTATATGGTTGGGCCCTTCTAATGATCTTGGTGAAAGGTTTGACTCAGGTTACTTAACATGAAATGAGAAATGCAGATCTAAGAAATCCCAAATCTTAACACTTCAGTTTATAAGTTAACTTGTGGAGAACCATTTAGGCTCAAGTTAAACCAGTATAAGCCTATCTAGTAAGAAGAAATCCCAAATCTGAGCCCTTCAGATAATAGGCCTAGAGACCTAACCTATACTCAGGCCTACTTGAAGAGAAATATAATAGACAAGCATTTACCTTAAGATTTATCTAAATCTTTAATATTAGAAAAAATAATGACATAATTTAGTTGGTATTTTTAATTCACATTTTAAGTTGCATTGTGCAACCCTTGAGGCCACAAGACTAAGAGCCCTACGCAGTAAACTGACAAGCCTATTAGTAACACTACAAATGCTGCTAAGAAGAATTGTATAATCGTAAATAAGTTAGGGCCTATATAGAGAAAACTTACCTTGAAACATGATGTAAAATAAATGTTTATTAGATTAGTTGAGAATTAAAGACGTAAATCAGTATTTTCGACTTTTACTTGACAAGACATGAACTGGGCACAACCAAGAACCACAAACCAAAACCAGAAACGAAACCAAACGATCGGTTGGGTTTGGTTGGGTACGGTACGGTGGTACGCTAAACTTCCCTCCCGTGGTGGAATGGAATGACTTTTTCGTTGGCGAGGAAGGAGAAGAAGACATCTTGAAAAGAGAAGAGGGTAAGAGTATGAAACATAATAATCAGATTTTTAATAATGCTGTTTAACGCAAGGAATATAATCAAATAATCTAAGCTTAGGTAACCAATTGCATAATTCACCAAAATACGCAATTAAATCAAATTACCAGTAACGTACTATCATCAATTTGACATGGTATTTTCCTTAGAAAAAGTTCACTAAATTGAAACCATAGATCACCATAAATTGAAACCATAATACAGTATGATTTTCAAGTTTTCCTTCCCCACTTCCTACGTGGACCTGTATCCCTTTCTTTCTTCCCATGGCATTTTAGTATTTTAGATACGTTAATCTAGCTGCCCCAAAAAGCGTTCCAACACTCTTCCGCAATCCTTTATTACTTCCTTCGCCACATCCAACGTCATGGACCTCTTTTCCTTAATACTTACTTTAATACTTTTCAATGAAATGGCGACCATACAAAGTAGTTATTTTAAGCCAAGTATGAATAGAGATGAGTGTAGAATGAGTGGCGAGATATTGTAGTCATGTTAGTGACTAAGGCCGACTTATTCCTTAGACACAGCTGTTAATTAATAGCCCATACAAAGAATGGCAACTAAGGGACCTACAGGGGCCCATTTCATAATAAAGTACAAACTAATATTATTAGTAAATCAGCTGATTGCCTAATGCAAATCTAATGGAAATTACAAGTTACAAGTTGTAACTTGTAGTTTATTATGAAATGGGCCCCAGTTTATAGTGGAATACGAACCACATTTTTGCCTTAGTATATACGAATTGGTCTAATTTTCATGATAGTAATGCGGATCGTCGTAGTACTCACTCGTGCGGACGTTAATCCACACCAGGCAGTATCGCATCCACAGTGTATGCCAATAAATATAGCATTTTATTTTTTTTACTTTAGATACATTAATCTAACTGCTAGCCTTCACTACTTCATTCACCACACTTCCTACGTCACGTAGTGGACCTGTTTCCCTTCCTTCCCATAGCATTTCCCGTGGTAGAGTGGACATTATCATCGTCCTGCGTGACCACGGGAAAATTCTGATCACTACTCGCGGCCGTAAAGACATCATTATATTGTTCCCCGCGGTCGTATGGACATAGTAATCGCCCCCCACGATGGCGGCAAAATGGAAAATGGTAATTTAATCTCCCACGCTCTTGTGGAGATCACCACCGTCTTCCACAAATGAGGCAATATTCTGGTCTTTTCCCCCGATCGAGTGGACACTATCATTCTTGCGCGATCGCATTGATCGCAATAAAATTCTGATCACCCCTCGCGGGCGTGAAGACATCTTAATATCGTTCCCCGTGGTCGTTTGGACATAGTAATTGCCTCATACGATTGCGGCAAAATGGCAATCATGTCCCGCGGCCATGTGGAGATCACATCGTCTTCCATGAATGGCAATATTCTGGTCTTTTCCCGCGGTTATGTGGCTATTATGATCGTCTTGCACGATTGCTGCATAATTCTTATCACCCTCTCGTATTATTATTGTATTTCCCGCATTCCTGTAGCCATCGTAATCGTCTTCCGCGATCGTGAAAACATCGTAAACATAAGACATTACGTTTGTTAGTGCATAGGAGGACATTCAATTGATTTCTGTTTTTGAGCGGAGCAAAGCGAAGCTCTTTGGGGTAAACTTCAATGCAATCTTTATAACACCATAGATAGTGTATGTTTTATCTATTATAACACTTAGTTATAAAGATTGCATTGAAGTTAATCTCAAAAAGAAACAGAAATCAATGGAATGTCCTCCTATGCACTAACAAACGTAACGTCTTATGTTTAAGATTTGTGTTAATCTCATAGCAATAAACATTGTGTAAACCATGGATAAAACCCTACTCACTTGTGTTGGTCGTGGGGTCCCAGATTTTCGACATCCCAAAAGATCGACACTGAAATAGTCCCATCTTGTTGACAGCCCAAAATATTGACAGTGTCGATCATATGAGATGTCGATAAGATGGGATGTCAGTTATTTGGAATGTGTTGGTTAGTCTTAGCTCAGAGTAAGTCTTAGTAAAACCATAGACTAACCAACACAAGTAGACTTCTCATCCCATTGTAAAATTTGAAGCACGTTTTTCGTGTCTAGTTCACGTACGCCACACTGGGCGCTAGTGTCGACGAAATTTTGTTTCTATTATTTTAGGGTTAATTTCTTGATTTGTGCTTTACTGTTTGGTTAAATAACTAGGGGACAATATATTGTTTATGATTAGATCGTATTATTTGGTTAAACGATGTTTTAAATGACTGTATTAACGGGAAACAAATTGTAAACAAAACACGACCTCTACATAAAACCGTACAGAACTAACAATAAAATTGTCTTCAGCTGTTCCATAAGGATGAGAAATCTACTAAGGGAGTATGTTTTATCTATGGTAAAACCATAGATAGAACAATAAGGAGTATGTATTATCAATGGCAAAACCTTGTAAAACTGAAACTTGGGAGAGAACTAGCAAAAAATAACATAAATTTATCATAGTTTATCATAGATCAATCAACACGTTAATTGAAGGGAGTACAGTGTATACAGGGTGTCCCGGAACTCTATACCAATATTTTAGGGCATTGCTCCTGGGTAAGAAACATACCTAAATATCATATTTAAATTGTCCGGAAGTCGTTAGTTACTCACACAGCCGCCATTTTGTTTTTTTCAGTTATTAATTTTTTTCTAAATAATGGTTAAACATACGAAATGGAAACTTTGCACAAACATTAATGACAACTAGACAAAGCTACAAAAAAATTATGACGATTTTCAAATTCATAAAACAAAATGGCGGCCATTTAAAGTTTTTATAAAATCAACGGTTTTTGAGCTATTTAAGAAACAACATTTTAAATGGTCGCCATTTTGTTTTATGAATATGAAAAACTTCATAATTTGTTTGTAGCTTTGTCTAGTTGTCATTAATGTTTGTGCAAAGTTTCCATTTCGTATGTTTAACCATTCTTTAGAAAACAATTAATAACTGGAAAAAACAAAATGGTGGCTGTGTGAGTAACTAAGGACTTCCGGATAGTTTAAATATGATATTTAGGTATGTTTCTTACCCAGGAGCAATGCCCTAAAATATTGGTAGAGAGTTCCGGGACACCCTGTATATGTGTAACGTATCAACACGATCCTAGCGGCACCGGACGGAACCACAAATTAAATTGCCATCAGCAATTATCTATTATTTAAGATGGGGATAAGGTTGACAAATTTACTGAGGGAGTATTTTTTTTTAATCAACTTTGCCACCAAGACTGATTTTCGAATAATAGGTTACGTAATTTAGCCCGTCTTCTTCAGTCTTAATTTGTCTGGAGATGACTCTTCGGGTCAAGGACCCATTATGGATTCCTCGTCAATATCGAATTTGAATTAGTCATATATCCAACAGAAGTCTTAATCAACACGTAAATACATTTACGCCACACTACATTATTTTGACGAACTTCCCACGCAAGGATTTAGTCCAGAAAACAGCTGTTTGCCGCCAGCTTATTCAAATGGGGTTTCATTGCGTAATACTGTTCTGCAATGAGTTTTACCGGACACCAATCAGCTGATTATACTGTATTTGCGTGGCAATGATTGGTTATAAACAAAAACATAACCTCTCTTAGAGGTTATGACTGGTGATGTTTAGTCCTTAGTTGGTTGAAATATATAAGGATTCGAACGAATTAAGTAGTATGGCGTAAACTATCGTACGTAACTCGTCCAAAATGTGTGTACCGGACTCGTATGGTCATCCCGTACTCGACTTCGTCTCGCACGGGAACACCACCCTCGTCCGGTAAACACTTATTTTCAGGACTAGTAACGTAATATACTATTTCACCACACTATGATGTTTTTGGCTGTATTACATACGTTAATTGGTGGCTGAAAGTTACGTTTTGCTGGCCATGCCAGCTGTCGCCAATTTGGGGACCGAGCAGGTTTTTACAGGCCGGGGCCGCAAAGTCAGCTGTCCACTTACTTACTTAGAACATGAATGCGTTTTAAATACACATAAATCCATAGCATTGCAATATAGAATTGTGTTATTGTCACCGTTGCCTAGCAACTATTTATTTGTATTTTTGCTGATTCCTCAAATTATTTCTTAACCTTAAAGTTGTAGTTGTGTTGACGATCAGTGTGCATTATTATAGTGGTGAAGAGTGGTACTAATAGGGTATAGTGTGGTGAAAAATATCGTTCGTACCACGGACCGAAATGGTTTTGCAGCTCTCGATCGATTTAAGTTCTCGACTTCGTCTCGAACTTAAAAATTATCTCGAGCCGGCAAAACCTCATTTTCAGCCCTTGGTACGAAATATACTATTCAACGCATAAAGTTCGAAATTGAAATACATTTAAAAGACGATAGGCCGGTCACATTGACATACGGGACAAACCACGAAGCCTTTAACCATAGATAAAACCATAACATACTGCTTTAACTAACGACACAGTTATCAATATCGCATACGTGGTGGTATGGTTACACGACAGAACTATCCATTGTCTAGCTAGTGACATTGTTTTACAGTACGAAACAGTAATGTTTTATTTATACCAGCCAAAGTTGCCAATTTTCTTCAAATTAATTCTATATTCAAATTGAATTATGAGACTTGGTGAGTTTTATTCCAGCCCGCTATCACCAAGCAAAATGGAAAGAACAGAAACTGAGCTGGCGGGCTGACGGCTACAGACACAGAGCGAGCGCAAGCAATATGTCAGCATCAGGGGCCAGCCGTTTGATGCTCAGCTCAAAATGCGCAGACGCAGACTGAGCAGAAGAGCAGGCTGCTTCTTTTGTTTTGTTACAGTGTTGCCAAAAAGCGGGTAATTACCCGAAAAGCGGGTAATTTAGTTACCTGGGGGTAATGCTGCGGGTAATGGCAAATATGCGGGTAAAAAGCGGGTAAATGACAACTGATCAAATATTATTTGTTTTTCGTATTATTACTTATATTATTTCACTAGAAGAAAAATATTTCCTTGTGTTTTTTTCCATTAAAGTTATTTCACAGACTTTTTATTGTTTTACACTACTTCTCTTAATCTTCATTAGTTTGGTTCAGTTCTCACTCAGTCACTAGTGTAGATATAAAGTCAATGCGAGTAGGCTACAGCGTTCAGTCGGTTCGGTTCGGTTCAGTTTCAGTCAGTACGGTTGTTTGTAGTCTTTTCTTTTGGATTGGAGTGGAAAAACTTTTGGTTGCCTGGCCTTAAATGCCTGATCCGTGATCCTGATCTCACTTCTCACTAGTCACTATACTACTGTCAACGCTGATACCATGGTAAAGGAAAATACCGTACTAGTCTATTTCTAAAGAAGATGAAAAACATAAAACAGGGGAATAATAATGTTGATCGGTTATAATAACTATTTTCTCCCTAAAACTAATAAAAAATAAAATTTTTAACAGTACTTACTCATTATTAAACAAGTATATGACATAGGCTATCATAAAAAAACCAAATCATTGTAGGACTAATGTAATTATTTTTTTAAGGTCAGTAAGATTGCAAATTTCATTATGAAGGTTAATTACAAGTCTCAAGTCCTATATTTAGTTCTTTACTATATCTTAATTTGTGGGATTACTCAAAACTAATTTATCAGGGTTTTTATTCGTTACTTTTAGACAGGCAAGAGTGTTAAAAGGGAATTTTTGGTTTCTTGAGGGTAATTTTTAGAAAAAGCGGGTAATTCTTTGCTTTGGAGGGGGTAATTGGGCCATAGTGGATTGGCAACACTGGTTTTGTATGAAGGAATAGGAAGACGAATTATGATGATGATGATGAATGCGTCGCAATGAGATAAGTTAGGTTGGTTATAAAATTAATTAATGAAGTATATTTAGCCTTCTTAAGCCTCTTTTTAAAGGTTAAAGAAGTGTCTCTTTTGTATTATTAATGCTAGGCCTAGGCTATGTTCCTGTAAACTAAAGTAAGTTATTAAACATTGTATAGGCTATATCGCTATCATTCATTAACTCCCCGCGATAACTTAGAACAAAATTCCAGCAATAAGTATTGCAGAACGATCAATTTATTGGTAAGCTAGCTAGGCCTAAGTTAGCTGATATTTTTTACTATCATTATTATTTTTTGTAGGCCCAAACCTGTTAAAATATTACAGTGACAGGCCCTAGACTAAATAATTATACGCAGAGGATACGAGTCCGGTAACGGGACGTGGATTAGGCGTCCGGCAGTTACTGTCATAACCTAACCTAACCAACCAAACTTGCTGATAATGAAAAAAATCAAATGAAGGTCCAATTCTCTTCATAACATAAAATTATAAATGCCAAAAATTCTAACAAAAGATGTACATTTAAGAAGAAATTACATTCAAAGCAAAATCTGTGACAAAAAGTTGAAACCGATGGGTTTCGAACCAGGGACCTCTTGGATATCAACCGAGCACTCTATCCACTACACCACGAACAACGCTGGCCGAACATCGTATCGTTGTGGTAATGGTGTTCTGGGACCCCATAAGCTTAACCCGGTGACGTCACTACCGGACGCCTAATCCACGTCTGGTTACTGGACGCGTATCCTCTGTGATAATTATAATTAAAAAGGTTTAAATACCTGCTATTAAGCAATCCATTTAATTGCAGTTGCAACTAGTTTCGACTCCTATGTGGAGTCATCATCAGGCGGTACAAGGACTTCTTACTTCAAGGGCAGTCTGGACTTAAACTCCGTAGGGTTAGCGTCGTCTGTTGTCGTAACTGATCAGTAAATGTTTCGTGTCCGTAACGTGTTTTGTGTCGTGTGTAAATGTTTATTTATTTTTACTTGTTAAATATGACGCTCTTCATATGAAGAAAGAAGAAGTCCTTGTACCGCCTGATGATGACTCCACATAGGAGTCGAAACTAGTTGCAACTGCAATTAAATGGATTGCTTAATAGCAGGTATTTAAACCTTTTTAATATTATTTGGCAATCCGGAGGCTACATCCACAATGAAGATAATTATAAGCTTGGATAAGCCCGGGGCAAGTGTGGGCGAGGTGCATCCGGACCGTCTAAAACTGCTTCACCAAAATATACGAGGTCTCTCAGACAAAAAAGAGATGTTTAAAGTGTTCCTTCATTATTAATTGCCTGACATGATATGTTTGTCTAAACATAATCTGAGAGACATGGAGTTTGAAATGATTAAGTTTTTTAGTAAGCTATATACAAGCAAGCTACATACCTGCCTAATGTGTTGTTTCCAACTAAATCTGAAGTCAATCCAGAATCCCAGAAGTTTGACAGCTTCCTCGCCCAAGTAGTCTGGCTTAAGTGTGCACAGCAGTGTTTGTGTCTTGTCGTTGTTTATTTTGAGTAAATTCTGGTTGAACCATTCGTTTGCATAGACCATAAGGCATTCTGTGTCAGTGCGAAGCTGGTTCAGATACCTGCCTCTGGTAACCAGTTTGGTGTCGTCTGCAAATGGCAATGTTTTATTGTTTAAAGCCTGATCATTTATGACGATAGTCAAGAGGAGGGGGCCAAGAACTGAGCCTTGGAGAACTCCGTGTCTCAAATGCTTCACCCCAGAAGTCGCACCGCCGGAAAAGACGACTTGCTTTCTACCTTGTAGATAGGAGATAATAGTTTACAGGACCACGCCAGTTACCCCATACTTCCTGAGCTTGGACACAATAATTTTATGTGATACCACGCCAAACTCTTTACTCAGGTTACACATATTTAGCAGGACTGAGTCCTTGACTTCAAAAATGTCTGCAATCCTCTTTTTTTTTTAAAAAAAAAAAAAGATTTGTTCGACCAAGCTAGAGAGGGCTGTTGTGGTAGATCGTCCTTTCCGAAAGCCATGTTGTGCATCTGCAAGTACGTGATTAGACTCAAAGTACTAGATTAATTGTATCTTTATTACAGACTCTATGACTTTAGAGAGGGCAGGCAGTAAGTTATGGCAATAGGCCTGTAGTTGGACAGCAGTGAGGGGTCACCTTTCTGGAATTCTGGGATAGCCCGTGCAGTCTTGAGCGTGTCAGGGAAGTAGCCTTTTCTCAGACAGAGGTTTACGATTAGTCATGAGTGGGTCCACGATGGTGTGGATGACAGCCTTCAAAACAGAGCAGGAGACACCAAAAACATCCTGGCTATTTGAGTTTTTGAAACCTCTAACTAGTTTAATAATGAAGCTAGGCTGCAGAATGATGAGACATCCAGGAGAGAGGCCGCCGGGTCAGTCTGCAAAATAGGTATATTAGCCACAACTTGTGCCAGCTATTCCGGAGGGAACCCGCTGTTATAGTCTTAAGTCTAGGAGACCTGTGAGAATTAACAATGTCCCTTATCTTTAACACATCGAAGCCTTTTTTTGCTTCGTTTACAACGATGGAGTCTTTTGGTTTAGTACTTTGCATGCTATAATCAGTGTAAGGAAGCCTGTTCTGCCCGGTAACTGTGGGCACAGAAAACATACTACTATAACCCAGAATGCCAACCGCATGGTAAAAAGCATTAAGTATTTTGAGAGAGCTTTGCCTGTCAATTCGTAGGCAGCGCCACCAGCGTTGCTTGTTTTCTGTGCTGTAGGACCAATCTATTTGATTACATTAAGCACTAAATAAGTGTTTAAAATTCTCTCTTCCAGCTCAACACAAACTGTACCTCTCACCATGAATATTCTAAGGAGGAGCTGTAATGTGTTCTTAAGACTGCGGTGGGAAGGAATAGTTTTGGACTCTTTAGACAAAACAATCATCAGTAAAAATCTGTGGTAAGTTGTTTGATATGTTATTTTCAGGTGCCGTTCTTTAAAATAGGACTATAGAATTGTATTTTAAGGGATTTAGGCAATTTATTTTTTTTTCAAGCAGGAAAGGTACAAAATCAGATTTTACCTAAAACACTTCAAGAATGACTTTTCTCTAAAAATTGATCATAAGCTACCCTTAGATAAAATAAACCCGAAACTTCAAACCTTGCTTAATCAAAAAACTTGATACCTCAAAACTTTACCCTTCCCCCTTCAGCGAAGGTATACCTTATATTGAGGTCCTACTGTATAATCTTATTTGTAGGCATAATAAATTGAAAATTGTATTTGAGTGTAGGCCTATGCAATTTGAAGTTTACAAATTGGATTGTTTCAGTACCAGCTGAAAACTATGATATCAAGCACAATGTAACATGTTTCAAAAATTTCTTAGCTGTGTAGCTCATTTTAAATAATCTAGGGTGGTTAACTGACTGTGAAAAACATTAGTTGTGAGTAAATTTTTAATTCCACTGTGGAAATCTGAGTTAAAATTGAGTTAAGTTTAATTTTTGTTTTAATGTAAACTTCAGGCGAATTTAGAAGAGCTTAACAGCTAGGAAATTTCTGTAATTTCTTGCCTAAAGACTCATAAAACTTAGTTTATGAAAAACCTCACTGTTACAAAATCGTCAGTGGTCACAGTGAAATGGTGAATACCTTCTGAGGTCATGACAAACACATGAATGTTTTCTGTGTTCTCGGCAAAACCGTGAACATCACCTGCGATCCCAAAAAAATCTTCAACTTTCGACTGTGTATCTTTGCAAATGCTTTCCAGTATCGTGGAAATATACACTCAGCTTAGCTTGTCCGAGCTTATATTGGTAGATTTTATGATCATTGTTAGCTCAAACGGATCCCTCTGAGCCCCAAAAATATCGGCGACCGGCAGACTTTTATAATAAATTCTTGTTAAAATTTTCACTTTACAGCTTTGAATCTCTACCTGGAAATCGGGCACAGTTGGAACTGTACCGGTAGGCCTAATGTAAGAACTGGCAGTTAATTTTAAATTAATATTAAAAACTGGGCCGTATTTAGAACTAATGAGGCCCCTGGCGGCTCTCAGCATTGAGGGCCCTCTATATTCTGATTCTTCGGAAGGTTGGAACTCTTTTAAGTTCTAAATAAGGAGATTTATTTATTCTACCCTGAGGTAGAAATACATGTGGTATTGCTTCAACTCGATGAATTGGCGTTTTGTTTTCAACAATCAGATCGGCAAAAACACCTAGGACACAAGTTAATTAAATTATATGTCTATTATTTTTTTAAATAATATTAGGGGTCTTAGGTCGGGGCCAGACATTTTTAATTTCTTTCGGGTTGAGTAAATAATCTTGATCTTTGGGCATCGGATCAAAATCAGGTGGTTTCAGATATAATTAATTTAAAATGTATTAATTGATATGCTATAATATCTTTATAAAAAATCCGGAATTGCGGCCAAATTGTAGCTGTCATCTGCAGTAAAATCGTGGACATCTGCCGCGGTCGAGGGAGAGATTATGAACGTGTGTCTACGTTCACGGCAAAATAGCGAACATCATGTGCGATAGCTGAGACATCATCTTTATTTTCTGCAATCATGGCAAAATTATTATTGTCTCATGTGGTTGTGGGACTTGCCCGATCGAGGAGACATCATCTCGTCTCCTCCCATCGCAGCGGAGTCATGAAAGTGTTCACAGTGGCCACGGAGAAAGAGGGAACGTCTTGCGCGATCGCGGAGATGAATTTTCATCTGCTTCGATCGCACAAATATCATCTGGGTCTTCTGCAATCGCGGCAAAATCATGAATGTCTCCTGTAGTTGTGGGAAACAGTAAAAATCATGAACGACTCCTTTGGCCGCGGAGACCTAATTTTCGTCTCCTCCGATCGCGACAAAATCATGAAAGTTTTCTATGGCTGCAGAGAAATAGTTACCGTCTTCCTTCACCATGATGAAATTGTAAAAGGTCTTCCCAGTTTTTGGGGACATAATCTTTGACTCCCCCCGCGGTCGCGATAAAATCCTGGACATATTCCGCGACTGTGGATGAATAGTGACAACTCCTACTGTACTTAAACTTTGAAATAGTTAAGATCTTTTGTGGTGGTGCTGATTTCATCAACGTCTTCCGCAAAACTGATTGTTGGTGAAATAAATTTATCAAGAAATAAAATCTGAGGCTCCCTCCTAGACCGAGGCCCCCGGCAACCGCTGTGTCCGCCGTTAGGGATATACAGCCCTGATTAAAAAGGTACACTTTACGACCAGGAAAACCAGGGTTTGCTGTTGGTTAAATAGGGAAAAATGTGTAAAATCTATCCCAGGAGTTCTGTGGACCAACCTGTAATCCAATTTTAGTTTTATGTCGGTTTAAACTGTAATTTAAAAGCTGGGAGTTATTCTTACTGGATTTTTATCCATCTGATACATGCAATTGGTTTTCATTAAAAAAAGGAAAAACCTAAAAGGCTCAAAAATCCGAGAAAGCCTCTCTGTCCCTTAAGTTATTGCTCAATGTGTCAATAATATTTTGATTATTTTTTCAGTACACCTAAGACCAGTAGTTTAAGACCAATTCATACTACTGGGACAAAATGTGATTTGATGGAATTCTTCGACGATGAAAAAAATTGGGGAACTGAAGCTATAAAAGTGGGTAGAGCTTGGAAGAAAGACGAACTTAGAATCAAGAGCAACTCTGACCTCCACAAATTATGGTAAATTTTCTTTAAAATGATAACATGAATCAATTAAATTATGCAACTTTATTTGTTGGATCCAATTTATTCTTTTGTTTAAATGTAAAATAATTTCACTTGATGTTCCTTTTTATTACCGTTTCTTAGTATCAGTGCTAATTTATCCATTAAATATTCTTTTACTGTTAAGCAACTATGACTTGTTGATTGATGTACAGTAGTAAAATCAACCTTAGATGTCGCCTATTTGTAGTTTGTACACAGACATATTTGTATATCCTGTTATAATATTAAATCTTACGTAAAAGGATTTTGGGTCTAATACATGGGTTTTGATTTGTTTGTCAATTTAATTGTATCAAAACAAAATGTACATTAAACCCTTCTCTAAACCACCCTAATGGGCCCAGGCCTAGGATGGTTAAAAGGGGCCACTATCTAAACGTGTAAAGTATTCTAGAATAGAAATACATTAGCCTATATTTTTTATATTTCCTATGTGAATTAAAAACTTAACTTCATTTATCGATCCTTAATTTTGCAATAGTTTTATTTTTAATATACTGTATTAGTACTTAAGTATCGGTGGAAATATGCAAAGTGATCAAGTCCTAGCAAACCTGTACCATATAACTATTATAGAAAAGCAATCTAACTCTTCTATACTACAGTTTTGTATATTATACTCTCAAAAATAAGATTACTTTGTTGGTAAATCGTGCTAATATTTTAATTTTAATCCCATTTAATATTAAGCTAATTTATAGTCAGAGTCATAGAGCAATGGTTTCCTTGAGCTTGTGTGTTTGTTATTGAATCGTTTAAAAAAAGTAATGATTCAGTCATTGTAACTCAGCTGCAGTTCCGTGCATTCTTTCAATGAGGGCGACATAGAGAGGTTCGGTCGCAATTATCTGTATGGGTAATCAACAAAATTAAACAGAACTATTCAAATTAATCTGTTTGGATGAAAATTAAGATCCAACCTCAAAATTCGTATAACCGAGCTGTCAGACATGTTCAAAGCAACGGCTTGGTTTTGGGCAGGCCTAAAAGGACTGTTTTGTACAGCAGCACGAACTCTAGTGAATGATAGTTGTCTGGAGTCGAATCTGACTTTGGACGGCCTGTCAGCTTCTAACCCACCGCGCTGAGCTCATGATTGTGCTGCGAGAACTTCTCCATGTCGTCCTAATTAAACAAATGCACGGAACTGCCGCTGAGTTGCAATGACCGAATCATTACTTTTTAATATGACTCAATAACAAACGCACATAGCTCTGGCGACCACAGCTCTATAACTATAGATAATTGCAGTGTGTAGGCTTTCCAATGAGCCTAATCCCACCACCCTCAAACAAACTGTTGCTGAACAGTGTGCTGCAGAAAATAGAATGGGTTTTATGCCACACTCTGTATATCCTACAAACATTATTAAAATAAGCTTATTCAATCAGTTAGGCTATACCATACACAAAATCACTCTAAAATTTGTTCGAAAAGTCAGTGATATATCTGTTTTCAATTTCCTGTCCAAGTTTCTAAGGGTCTAGTTATGTACACCAAATAATCTGTAATGTATCTTGTTGAAGATAATGTTTAATTCCAGGTATATCCTGCTGAAAGAGCGGAACATGCTCATGTCTATGGAGCATGAACACCAGGAAGCTTTTGAACCGTTCCCAAACCCGGAGAGATTGGATAAGGTAACTTGAAAATAAAATAAAATATTACGTTTCTTAAAACTAACCATAGTAGAAACGGCCTATGCCTATTCGTTTCTTCAACGCCAATCAATCAATCAATTAAATAATTTTTATTTCGTAAAATGTATGTAGTGTTACATTAATCTACTTATCTTAAATATGCTAAAACTAAGTGATGCAGAAGTGTTATTAATTTTACTTGTAATGTAAAACAAAATGACTTTATTAAAATGATTTCCAAGACAATAAACCCACAGATAATTGAAACATATTAAATGCTAATTAAAATTTAATTGTGGCTTACGCCACACTACACTGTTTTGACGAACTTCCCACGCACGGATTTAGTCCAGAAAACAGCTGTTTGCCGTCAGCTTAGTCAAATGGGGTTTCATTACGTACTACTGTACTGTAATGAGTGAGAGTGGTTAGTTTATAAATAAAAACATAACCTCTCTTACAGGTTATGACTAATGATTGTTAGTCCTTTAGTCGGTGGTAATATATAAGGATTTGTACAGATTTAGTAGTATGGCGTAAAATATTGTACGTCACTTGTCCAAAATGTGTTAACCGGACTCGTATGGAAAACACCTATTTTCAGGACTAGTAACTTAATATACTATTGATTGCCATTGGTTTTCTGTAAAATGATGACTCTACAGTAATATATTGCGACGGTCAGATGTATTGCTTTTTGCCTCAACTGTTTGTTTCCATGTCACAATGGGGAAATTTGAAATTATACATTTCCCAATATTGCCTTTACTCAATGACCACACAGTATTAGAGTACTTAGTTGTTTGACTAAATATCACAACAAAAATTTAGAAAGACCCAAGCATTAAAATGATCCACTAGTGAATATCTTGCCTTTACCTCCTAAATATTATTTAGTTGCTTGGCTAAAGACAGTAACAAAAATATAAATACTTACATTGCATGATTGAATGATCATTGACTGCTTAATGATTGAATGATTCACTGTTGTTTCAATTTCTTACGGAATGTTTATTGCCTTCGCTTCAATCATGACACAGCTTTACTTGCTCCCTTCCTACAGACCTGTAAAGTAAGATTGTTTTTGGTTGTAGGTTAAAGAAAGCATGCACAACCTGGAGGAGGTGGTGATAGAACGCAACAAAGCGTACCACGAACTGGAAACAGGCGAGACTGGCATTGTACCAAGTAAACAGGTCATCAACCAGTTAGGTAATGTCATGAATAATATTAAATCTGTCTACATTTAGACCTCTCAAAAAATCAAATAATTTGAAGGTGGTGTAAAGTTTTAACTAGGCCTATTAAAGAGAGTTTCAATGATGATTCCAATCGTATGAAATGTTTTGTCAAAAGCTGCTTTAACAAAATAATTAGACTGGGATGGTGGCGTCGTCCTATAATCCAGCTTCTAGGAGGTCACAGATTGTGGATATTTATAGGCATGCACTGTGGATGGGATACTCCCTGGTGTGGATTAAAGTCTGCACCAGTGAACGACTAGCCGCAGTGCTATCCTGATAATTAGACCAATTTGTTAATTACAAGGATAAAATTTGGTTCTGATTCCACTATAAACTGTAGGTCCCTTAGTTGCCAATGGCTGTATGGGCTATTAATTAACAGCTGTGTCTAAAGAAAGTGTTAGCCTTAGTCACTAACAAAACAAGACTACGAGATAGTGTCACTCAACCTACAGTACTCATCCTTCACTCATATTTGGGTTAAAATATGCACATAGTGGTGTCTCGATCTTAAGTAATTGGAATTGATATAATTGATTCTACATTAAAATTATTTGATCAATTGGTTAAAGTGTTTTGTTATAAAATTCAAATAATTTTATTTAACCTTAAATGGGTATCGCACGTAAATTTGACGTAGGGTGAGTTATTTTTCCTACCCCCCATCCCCTCACGCTACCCTCCTTCCAGCAATGCTCTCAGCAGCCATTTGCCTGGTGATGGCTGCCTTAGTTGGGTTGTAGTGTGTTTCTTGGAACGCATTTGCCAATCTTACGTGACAATACCCTTTATCTATAGCAAAATGGCCGGCATTTCATCAAATTTACGTATTGATACCCTTAGCGTCACACACTGTAAGACAATACCTTATTGTATGCAATTTCTATGTATGTAAAATTTACTTATTAATATCCTTAGCGTCACACTGCATGACGATATACCTTTCTAAGGTTAACAGTCAAATGTTTCTTTTTTCCTTATTTAGAAACAATAGCTTTTTTCCTTAAACGATGGGTTTATTATCTAAACTTATGTTGTTATTGACATGCTGCATCAAATTATTTTTCAGGATTAACACATTTCCACCGAATGGGGGAACATTTGATTCCAAAGTATGTAAACAAGAAGTGGAGAGAGAAGCATGTCCACCACGATAACTACAAGGAAACAAAAGTATTCCTCGCTTTACTTGAGGAAAAGAACAAAGTTATAGAATCAAAACACCGCAAGTATGTATGATTCTTAATGAAACTGGTTTTATATTTGTACCAATAAACTTTTCTTTTTTTTATGATTGTTGTGTTTACGTAGTTTGGTTGTTGGTTCAATCTTGCCGAAAGGATGTGGGTTTTTATTGGTTTGAAACTGGAGCCAGCTGTTGTTTGCCATTAGGCTATAAATGTCTGTCCCTGGCTAAAGATACAGCTGATTTTAGGGTGGTAACTAAGCTACAAAAGCATCAGACTCATCCTTCATATTTTAACTACAAGGTGCACCTAGTTCTATCCTCATCTCATTTAGTTATACATAGTGTTACAAAAAAAGGATTTGTTGCTTGAAAAACATGCCAGTTGCAAATATCCAAAGCTTTTGTAATTACTCATAAAGGCTTTTGTTTCTTGAAGGGGTCTTAGACAACATGTGCTGGGGCTGATGCGGAGATTCCCAAACTTGGACTTGGAAGCTGTCAAAGAGAAGTTCCCAGAAGTGGACGTTGACAAGCTGAAGGACTTGGACAAAGCGAGGGGACATTGGCTGCCGTAGAGTTTGTAACCTGCTGTTGATGTAGAATGTAAATAACTTTTGTACAGATATATTAAAACCATTTATCCACACATATTTATTTTGTGTTTTTAAAATTCCTAACTCCCAAGGTCCTTTGTACAGTTTAAATAACATGTAAAGAAAAGCACAAAAGGATTAACGTCGGATGTGTCTTAGAAAGTTTTTGAACTTTGCTAATAATTTGTCATAACTTTCATCATGTTTAGGATTATATTATCATTATCCTTTTCTATGTGCAATGTGCAATAATTCTTCTGAGAAAAGGTCAAGTGTATATTAACATATTTGTTCATTTTTTTTAAGTACCATCTTTTTTGTGTAAAATTAGAGAAGTGAAATAATGTTAACACGTATATTTGGGTATATGTAGCCGAGTGGTTAAAGTGCTCGCCTAACATAAGGTTGTCGAAACTGGACCCAGCTGTTCCTGATCATTGGGCTTTTAATAAACGATCCTGGCTAATGAAACAGCTGATCTTAGTCAGTAACAAAGCTACACAGATTATCTGTATAGGCTATTTATTAATTTAACAGCTGTGTCTAAGGAACATGTCGGCCTTAGTTACTAATAAGACTACTATAGGTCGGCGCATGTAGTAATTTTTAGCGCATGTAGGGGAGGTAACGACGAGGAAGGGTATGTTCCCCCTCTCCGCCAATGGCCGTTTTCACACTGCACGACACGGCGCCGCCCCGGTGTCGTGGGAGTTGGAATCCTGTGTTACCAAATGGAACTGCTTACACAATGATATAATAACATTTCATGGTGCTTAAATATTGATGCGATTTAGGCTGTACAATATTTTTTGCAGGACCTATTTTTCTGAAGTTATGAATAACGTAATTGTTTACATTTTGATCAGCTGTATCATTTAATTCGATTAGCTGTGTTCGGGAAGGTTGGGGGTAGGACGGCAGCGGAGTGGGGGAAGAGCCATAGTCTGTCTCACTCCCACAGCTCGGTATCTCTCTCTCGCACCAATGCTACGAGGAGGACACTTTCTAACCGGCCGACCTATAGATCATCTGTAGTGTAAGATACTACTCATCCTACACTCATCTCTAATCATACTTTGCTTAAAATACCTATATTCGTATGGTCGCCATTCCAAAATAAAGTATTAAATCTCACATCATTCTACACTCGCTACTGTATTTTGTATTTCAAGTTCCCATGACAAGAACAGTCACATGGATTTTGCTTAATGATAAATTTAAATGTATTATGTCTCATCCTTGGGTTAAAATACGCACCTAGAGGGTGTTCCTATCTCAATGATTGATAATTAATGTATTACTAAAAGTTTGTGAATAGAGCTTAACAGGGTAATGAGAACAGTAAGTAAGAGTACCAAAAGTCTAGTTTCATCCTGCCTTACCCATATTATAGGACCTCGGATGGAGGAAATCAGTTTAAGACCCTGGAGGGACCATCACAGCCTGTCAGCCAAAGAAGAATCAGTTCTTGGGTACGTTCATTGACACTATTGACAGGAATAAAAACTTGATCACCTTTAAACATAATAAGTGAACTTTGGTAAACACATTTTGCTTCAATTTGGGTAGATGAACCTTCTGGAAATCCACAAGGAGACAGGCTTGGAGGGATTTAAGGGGAGATTGGTAGTAATTTGGGGGCTGAAACTTGTATATTGAGTCAAAGACTGAACAAATGAAGAATGAACACGGATGATTTAAGTGGTTTCCTTAAACGAATTCAAATTGTTAAAATAAACTGTATCAGCAAGATGACACACTTCTCCCATTAGCTTGTCAACAACCCTTATCATGGCTATATGGGAGTCAGTAACTATGCTATTTTATGGGGGAAAAGCACAAAAGTTGCTAAAGCTTTTTAACAATAATTATTACTCTTTGGGGGTGGTACCACCACTTTTGAGTTGAAAGGACTATAACATATACATTTTAATCAAAATCTTTGGGGTAGAAAACCCCAAATTTTTTTGTCTTTTTTATGAAAAAAATGGGAAAAACGTCTGGAGATACAATATGGATTAGTTTCCACTACCCAGATAACAAATTTCCAACAATCGGGCCATCCACCACAGGTGCACAGGTCTAGTCTGTAGCTCTGTATATAAACATCCACAAACACACCCATATACTTTAAGACACTCACACAGTCATCACTTCAATCAAATACTAGGCCTACCACTCTTTGGGTTTCAGAATTCAAAACTTATATTTCCACTCAAACTTGGAAATGTCAAAATCAATACATATTTTTTTTTATACTAGAATAATAGAGAGGAATATATCCGAAAAATAGAAATTCTAATACAGTTTGAAATTTGCTAAAAAATCTATCAATTTGAATAAAATGGCCATTTTCGACTTTTAATTATTGTAGGTTAGTCATTGTTATCAAAAATATTGTACAGGAAATTATTCAAACCATCAATATAGAAAAAATGTGGTTAAGAGCTGATAACAGCTGTGCCTTAACCGGTATATGTGTTCCATCCTTGTCAAGGGGAGTGCTAAACATCTCTCCTTTCATACAACACGAAGTTATATTGAAAACAGCCGTGTATATATAGCGCTGGTGAGATCACTCTTTCAGACGAGAACCTAAAACTTGTAAGCTTAATTACAGCATAGTTACTAATTGCATCTGCTTTAAACTTCGTAATCGAGCTTAATTTAGAAAGGAGAGCTTATACTGATGAGGAAAATTATATGGAGTTTATGTTTTATATGTTTTTATACGTGTTATCGATAAAGCAGATTATACTACTAGCGCTTCTGGTGTGCACCGCGAGAACTGCCCGGGTGGTTTGTGTTGGAGAGAACTTCACCTTCATCATACTAATATTATAAATGTGATAGTTTGTGTGTTTGTTTGAAGTTCAATCACGCATTAACTACTGGTCGGATTGTGAGCTAGTGTTTACTAAAGGTGTCATTGTAAATATGACTGTTATTCGTTTTGAAATAACTTTGCAATTGCTCGAATTCGAGCAACATGTACACTAGTTGTTATTAAAAGAGAACATAGTTCTTGCTGTGACCTAGTCAGTCAATGGTATTACCATAAACAAAAAATAATACATAATGTATTATTTATTATTACTCTGAGGTATTACTGTCATCGATCTCTACTGTAATAAGAGATCGATGATAACTGTCTGCACTAGTAGGTACCGTACCTAAAATCCAAAATTATATTATAGAATTTGTACCAGGGAATTTTGCAAAAGAACTACCATTGACTATTGGATACTGTTGTAGCCAAAGGAGCCTAACCAATTTATATATTAAAACTCAATGTTTAAAATAACATCAGTGCTTAAATTTTTGACCAAATTTGAAAATTACGGATCCTCCAATTGCAACTATAAGGAAACGTGATTATCAAACGTAATATAAGCATACTAAGCCAACCATTCTAAGAAAAACAAAAACAACCGTGCAATCCTTCTTGAGTGTCATTCGTTTTGTCAAATTATTCAGTTGCTAGATGCTTAAATGCCACAATGGTTATCTCTATTTTGCTGTATAAGTGGTTTCTTGAACTTAATATTTAAGTAATCTAAATAATACGCTAATTATTTGAGCTGTGATTATCGTTATTTTGTTGTACAACGATGATTTGTATTGTTCATAAACATAATATTGTTCCCTTCTTTTAGTATTGCCTATTTTCAAAAATAATAATACTTTCGAATCCTTGTTATGCGATGGCCATTGTAGAATTGTTCAAATATATCGAATAAATATTACCATAGACTAACCATGCTCCCTTAGGCGTAAAGTCCCTAAGGGAGTATGTTTAATCTATGATCAATAACTTTAACATGGGGATGGAATGTCTAACAGTGGTACACTACTAAAGCCTATTTCCTATTTTATGTGCGCTTCGGAAGGTCCAGTGCCTTCGATTAAGCGACTAACAGCCGCTCACTTATGAGTAGTGTGTTGCAGGTTGCAGATATTGCAGGCGTCTTATAATATGCCACCTTACAGAATTACGATCCTCCTCTATTCTAAGGGATATAGTGTTTAGAATTCATAATTTGTGGTAAGGAAAAATGTATTAAGTTATAAGTCTTGAGAGAAGATAATAAGAGTAACGATTATAAGATATTTGATTATACAGGCAAAGTCATTTTATAAGTGAGTTACGTAGTCACTGGTCATATTAATACAGGTAGACCATTGTCTAACTATGTAATAAACAACCAGTGTAAATATATTACATTAGCGTTAAAATTAATAAAATTGGTTCACCTACTCATTAAAAAATATATCACTCCAAGAGAACGCTGCCATGGCGTATTTTAGCCCAATAATATTAGTGTAAGGAGAGTTAGGGAAGAGTAAAGAACCCACTTATGAGTAAGATGCCTTATGTAATTAATGTATCGAGATTGATGCCAACAGATTTTTACATAACAAACCTAGTCTCTTAGAGAATCACGAATGAGCTACAGATTAGATAAATAGGGTGTCCCAGAACTCTCCACCAATATTTTAGGGCATTGCTCCTGGGTAAGAAACATAACTAAATACTGTATCATATTTAAACCGTCCGGAAGTCCTTAGTTACTCACACAGCCGCCATTTTGTTTTTTCAGTTATTAATTTTTTTCTAAAGAATGGTTAAACGTACGAAATGGAAACGTTGCACAAACATTTGACAACTAGACAAAGCTACCAAAAAATTATCACGATTCTTCAAATTCATAAAACAAAATGGCGGCCATTTAAAATAACTGAAAAAAAGAAAATGACGGCTGTGTGAGTAACTGAGGACTTCCGGACAATATAAATATGATATTTAGGTACGTTTCTTACAGAGGATCAATGCCCTAAAATATTGGTAGAGAGTTCCGGGACACCCTGTATATGCTACATAAACATCAGAATATTGTAATATTAATACATAAACGTAATTTAAATCTAAAATTGCAAGGGCCTATGTGAGTACATGTAAGGAAAATAAATAACAATACTGGGTGAGCTATGTAAGATTTACTACCAACTTGAAAACAAAGGTGTAGAATTTCTCATTGATTGGCCGAGAATCTTTAAGTTCGTCGCAAAACTGTCAAATTTTTGGTAAATTTTGTAAACATAAACTACAAAATTACTGAATATTGATTGAAAATGAAAGTTTTAAATCGAAATTTTAAATATAAAACCTACCTATACAGTTTCAGACATGTTTATGATTAGAAATTTCTAAGACGAAAGCAGTTTTAAGGATACTGTTCTCTTTTAAATCCTGGATATCTGAGATTTTTAGGGGTGGGCAGAAACTACTATCAAAAAAGAACTGAATGGAGCTATTTGTGTGTGTGTTGTTTTGTAAATCGTAAAAAAACCTACGTACATAATCAGTATTTTTTCCTTATAATTTAACGTTTATGTGTAAGCAACTTTGTTTATCCACAGTATACGAACGAATCTAAACTGTAACAAAATTGATAGGTTTTTTGAAATAACAAATTTTTATGGCATGGCCTTAAGCATGAATTTCACATGAATACGAGTTTTGAATGAATACTCTCGATGAAACGATTGATTGGAGCTGTTTATTTTGTAAAGCGTACATATAAACATAAACCTTAGACGTAAGCAGCTACATGATTGGCTACACAGTAAATTTACATACGTAAAACAATCAGCGTTTTTTTAATTTTTTTTATTTATTTTTAATGTTTAATACATGCACTTTTGGCACACCCAGGATGAAAGCGACTAATGTTTTGAATATTTTGGAGGGGATTAAAATACAGGGTGTTTCCAAATTGTCTGGACATATTTTGTGGACTTGTTCCTTGGACTAAGACAAACATAAAATGCCATATATGTATGGGTCTCAAATGCCTAGATTTCTGTTTGTCGGTCTGTTTGTGAGTTTTGAGAATTATCTTATATCTTGGGTGTTTTTCAAGATATAAATTTAAAAATTGGCATAAATGTGTATTTTAGAAGGTAAAAAGAGCTGTTTTAAGTTCTGTACCAATATCTCAAGCAATTTCAATATGGCGGCTATTTAAAATCTGTTATGCCAAATTTCATCAAAACAGTAAATATTAAGAAACATCTTTATGGGGACTGGCGCACAGTTTACAATATTTCATACATAAGATTGAAATCGATCAATATTTTCAATTCACAATCCTCCATATTTATATTTCACCAGTTTGACCCCTCATTCGGATGAAGCGATGCGTGCAGGATTCGTATTCAAAATAGTCGAAACTATCAGCAGCAAAGAGGCTTTGCACGAACATCTGTTACAAATTTCAATTTGAAAGGGTAAGTAGTTGTAGCCGGCTAGACAGGGTTGATAGTTGCTAGGGGTAGTTTGTATTCTAGTTTGCTCTAGTTCCCAACATGGCCGACCTAGGGAACCAATCACAGCCGAGCGTCAGCATCCCTCGACTTCCGCCCCTCTCTAGACCAAGAACAGAAGGCTGAGGCTAGAACCCGACTGTGTTGAGCATTTTCAAAAATTAAATATATTGTATGCAAGAAAATGCATCTCTTTTGGCTATTTTGAGATTAGTCGTATGTTGTATCTGTTGTAAACCATTTTCAAAATAGTAGTAGTTAGATCTAAGTTTTAGGTATAACGCAAATTTACCTTCCCTTCGCAATTTTGCGGTTTTTTTATATTTCTTATTTGACTTTTAGGTGGTAAAGTGAACATGATCATAATATGAACCAGTTGCCAGATGATGTATAAATAGATGAGCCACTCACAGATTGAGGCTACGGTCTAAATTATTTTCTTCTAGTTTTTATATATGTGTTACTGAGTAAGGTAAGGTATTGTAATGTAACATCAAGAATGCTACAGTTTAGAACGTGACGTCCTTCCATTCAATGTGTACAACAGAAATCAGTGATTTACACATACAAAACCGAAGGTAGTTTTTACCGTTGTTTTTAGGTTAGGAAACAGTACATAGCGGAAGATTTTTTATTTTTCTGTTCAAAAATACATGAGATTTTTACTTTACATTCATCAATTACTTACCATAGTTTACCGTATATAGTTTTTCTGATATGTACTGTTTTATAATCTACGTACATTCAACTCGTAAAGATTTATGTATTTCAAAGAGTTTCTTCCATTGTCAAATTGTGGAAACTATTTAATTTCCTTACATCAGTACATTACGTTAACGTTTTATTTCTAAAGAGTTTTCATTCCATGACCTATGAAAACATTCGTCCCATTTATTTATTCATCCGCAATTTAGCCTCCGATGAGATGCATTAGTTTAGCATAGCTCACGTTTATTTTCAGAAGTTACGTCATTAGATATCCCAGCTCATGTACCATGTATGAAGTGGTTTGAATAAATCTCAAAACTTTGTGAAGACTGGAGCTGTAGTTGAACTTCAAGAAAGTCATCCATGACAATCTATGACATAAGTAAACTTTTGTAATTGGAAAGGGTTGTATATTCTAAATAAAATCTATGCCTTTATATATTCTAAATTTTAAACTCTCGTTGTTGCCTGTAATGTCTCCAGCGGTGTATGCAAC